ATCAAGCTTTCTAATGATGAGAGGAATCTAGAAGGGAAGCCGCTGATGAAGGTTATTGTTAAATTCGGAATTTAAATTACAATTTAAGCATCGTTGATGTGTAGCCAGTCTTGACCACGTAGAGCACAGTTATTGTTAGGATTACGGACCAACTTGTCTTTAAATAACTTGTCGTTAGGGTTGATTATGCGCAAGTCTAAGATGGTTATTTAGTGATAACTTTGAAGCAAATTGATTGCTTGTTTTGCAGGTTATGATGCGTAAATGGTTGCCAGCTGGTGATACAATGCTTCAAATGATTTGCATGCATTTACCATCACCTGTTACTGCCCAAAAATATCGAATGGAAATGTTGTACGAGGGACCACATGACGACGAAGCTGCTATTGCGATAAGGAATTGTGACCCTAATGGTCCATTGATGATGTACGTTTCAAAGATGGTACCGACATCGGACAAAGGACGTTTTTATGCTTTCGGACGTGTATTTTCTGGAAAGGTAAATCAGAGGATATCACAAAGTCGATGATGATATAAGAATCATTTTTTTAGGGTTTTTGGAATTCATTATATTTCAAAAAATTTCTCATCTTTTTTCCAGAATGTGCAAGATAACTGGAATACTTTTCGTACTTCAGGTTGCAACTGGAATGAAAGCAAGAATCCAGGGACCAAATTTTGTACCCGGAAAGAAGGAAGATTTATACGAGAAAACAATTCAGCGTACAATTCTGATGATGGGTCGTTATGTGGAACCAATCGAAGATATTCCATCTGGTAATATAGCCGGTCTTGTAGGCGTTGACCAGTATCTTGTCAAAGGTGGTACAATAACAACATATAAAGATGCCCATAATCTACGTGTTATGAAATTTTCGGTATCACCGGTTGTACGTGTTGCTGTGGAACCAAAAAATGCTGGCGATTTACCGAAACTGGTAATTATTGTGTTAGATTTCTGAAATTATCCGCATAGTTTTTTTTTTTTTTTTTTTTTTTTCGAAATTGGATGCAAGTCATCTTCTTTGATTCATGGAAATAATTTTGCAAATTTCTTTTCTGATGACTTTTTTTCAGTATTTTCAAATTGCAGGTCGAAGGTCTGAAACGTTTAGCGAAATCTGATCCTATGGTTCAATGCATATTCGAGGAATCAGGAGAGCATATCATTGCTGGTGCTGGAGAACTCCATTTGGAAATTTGCTTGAAAGATTTAGAAGAGGATCACGCCTGTATCCCAATTAAAAAGTCTGATCCAGTTGTTTCATATCGTGAGACTGTGACCGAAGAATCAGACCAATTGTGCCTTTCAAAATCGCCTAACAAACATAATCGTCTGTTCGCCAGGGCTCTGCCAATGCCTGATGGACTCGCGGATGATATCGACAAGGGTGAAATTAATGCCCGTGATGAAATGAAGGTAAAATATGTTTTGGCTTGTAAATGTTCTGAGGTATATAATTCAAATAAAAAACATAATGATTTCAGACCTTTGTGTTTTGACATTTTGTACTTTAATTAACTTGATGTTCAGTCTTTTCAACAGTACTAATTTTTATATTTTTTAGTCCCGAGCTAAAATTTTGGCTGAGAAGTATGATTATGACGTCACTGAAGCAAGGAAAATTTGGTGTTTCGGCCCTGATGGTACCGGTGCAAATATTTTGGTTGATGTTACGAAAGGTGTGCAATACCTGAATGAAATTAAGGATTCAGTTGTTGCTGGGTTCCAATGGGCTACAAAAGAGGGTGTCCTTTGTGACGAGAATATGCGAGGTTAGTATTTATATAGTCGTCCATTTTGTCATTTGCAAATATGAAGTTTCCGAAATATTTTAATTTCTTTGGGAATTTTCGATGATTGTGTACATTTTAGGTGTTCGCATCAATATACATGATGTAACGCTTCATGCAGATGCAATTCACAGGGGTGGTGGCCAGATAATTCCAACAGCTCGTCGTGTTTTTTATGCATCTGTATTAACCGCTCAGCCACGTTTGCTGGAGCCTGTTTATCTTGTAGAAATTCAGTGTCCAGAAAATGCTGTAGGAGGTTGCTTGTTTTTCTATTCTTTTTTTTTTTTGTTTTGTTTTGTTTTGCATTACTCTCATATCATTACGAATGTACTTTATATTTCCTTACTCCATGATACGAGAAAGACCTTTAATGTTTTTTTTCTTTTTTTTAGTGACATTGTTAAAATTCTGACAACTTTAGGTATTTATGGAGTTTTGAATCGGCGTCGTGGACATGTATTTGAAGAATCACAAGTAGCTGGTACCCCAATGTTCGTTGTTAAGGCGTATTTACCTGTCAATGAGTCTTTCGGTTCGTTCAATATCTATTTATTTTTAAGTTTTAGTAATTAATGTCGAGATTAGTTAATCGGATGGTAAAGAAGACGCAGGTGGCCTTGAATTGGATTTTTGGTAAAGTTACTTTGAGTAACGGTAGCAAAACGATTAGTACCTGTCTGGTCGTAAGTCTAGAAATTCGGTTGTTTCATGTGAGGTTGAATAAAGCACAAGATTTCAGGCTTTACGGCTGATCTTCGTTCTAATACGGGCGGCCAAGCATTCCCGCAATGTGTTTTTGATCACTGGCAGGTACTGCAGGGTAATCCATTGGAGCCGAACACAAAGCCGGCTCAAATTGTAGCCGAAATTCGTAAGCGTAAGGGTTTGAAAGAACAAATACCTGGCTTGGATAATTTCTTGGATAAAATGTAATTCACTATTTAAAAATAAGTATGATTTTTTTTTCTTTTTTCTTTTTTCTTTGTTCCTGTGTTCCTTTGTCGCTTTTCAACAATTACTGTTATGAAACCAGATTTGTTTTGATTTGATGTTGCAGAATGTTAGTCTTTTTTTGCTGCGTCATTGTTGTACCCTGAAGTTGCTCATCCTTCAGTTTTATATTTTCTTTTTTTCTTCTTTTTTGGTGGATTTCGGATTTGAAAGTAGAACAAATAAAACTTGTGGAATTTTTCTAAACTTAACTGTCTTTATTCTGATTGCTTTGTATTCCCGAAATATAGTGGAAATCATTCTTCAGCTTCAGTTTCATTAGGCATTTTTATTTTTTATATTTTAGTTGAAGTACATAAATTTAAAAGCCAATGTGTTTTACATGAATTTCAGGAAATTTTATAATTCAGTTTTTTGGGGGATTACTTTTTTAGCATATTGACTGTTACTGACGACATCTTTGTGGGGGCTACTTTAATGCGGTTTGTTTTTCTTTTGTTTCTGTTATGCTGCTTTTGTTGAATAAAGAAAAGGCCTATGGTATTTTTTTTTCTTTTTGTTAGATCTTGCTGTTGTTGTTTACAGAATGATTGGAGAAAATTATTACATAGGTATTTGGAAATACACTGGAAACATTCAAAAAAGAGTGAAAGAATTTTCTGGCGTTTTTTTTTCAAAATGCTGATGTTTTTATAGTTTTTTCCATATGCATCATGTCTGTGACAAGTGATGCATTATAAATTCGATACCGCTATGCAACCGTGGTCCTATTGAAAGCTTGCGTCTTATTTGTTCCTTATGCAACGAATAATAAGATGTAACTATCAGCAAATCTGTTTTTGATTGTTCTCTTACTGAAATTTAGAATTTCTAATTTACAACAATTTGCGAATTTTTAATAATTTGCGATTATTAATAAATATGTACGTTTCAAGGATTATTCAGCCGTACTGAATCAGACATGAATTATAAGGTGCTAACTGTGCAAGATAAGAGAGATCTGTCAACATAGCACACATTCATATATAAAATAAATGAATATTTTATTATGTGACACATTTTAGCAAATTAATATTATGATAATACGGAAGTCGTGACGTGTTCACCAATTATGACAATTTCGAGATTAATGTGGTGGCATTAGTTGTATTCAATACGAAGTAAACATGTTAGTGTAGAATGGGATGGAAATTAAGCGAGATGCTATTAATGTAAATGACGAATCAGTCTTAATTAATTATAATAAATATCAATTTGAAAATTGTACGAAAAGATGACGGAAATACTTTTAATTAAATTTCTCATATCAATTCATTTCTAAGACTTTTGCACAAGTATCAGAAGCTTACTTAAGATTATTTGTATGAGTAATTTATACGTAATTTTTCACGATAGATACAGCTATCCGCATATATACTCTATTTCAAATAATAATTTGCGAATTTATATGGTATTATATTCACTAATTCATATATTTTATTATTTTTACATATTTCATTTCATTGAATGCTATTTACGAATGCATTGTTTTCAGATACACTTATAAATGTATTATTTTCCACACGTATTTCATTATATTCATTTATTATTTCATACGTTTTCATACGTGCTTATATGCCTCTCGTCTATATCCTTTATTTTTACGTAATTTGATTACTTTCCGTGCGGTTTACGTATAAATATATTTATAACGTATTGCATAATACATCATATTACACTTTCATTTCAGTTTTTTTTCTCCTGTATGTTTGGCAAGTAATGCTCAGTGATCGATGGATAGTACTATCTGTAAGCGTTACGCATATTTTTTAATTTCAAAAATTATCAGAATTATTCCCTTCTGAATGTCACATTCATATTTCACAGTCATAATATTCACATTTATTTGAGAGAAAAGTAAATATCGATGTCGTTACCGTCAGTAATACAATTAATATTTAAAATTTAAATTGTTTGTAAACATTAAACGACAATATTTATCCGCATTTAAATTTATCCACCTATTTTTTTTTTTTTTTTTTCAGCATACATTTTTCTCTCTCTTTACCTTTCCTTTTTCGTCCCTTTTTTTTGGATCCGTATCTTATCCTTGCTATTCAAACAATATTTCAACTTCCTTTTTTTCGTTTTTCCATCTTTTTTTTTTTAATTTATAAAAAATAAATTGATATTTTAGAGATAATTCGGTGCAACATCAATAATTCCATCTATCTCTTACATCGATTCAAATCATTATTGTATTAATTGATTGAATGATGCGGCAGCATATCGTTATTGGCAATATTATCTTTATAATTATTTGTGGATATGGTATAGTTGTAAGTTTTTCCTTCTTTTTACATTTTTTCTGATTTCCTTTAAAAAAACAAAGATAAAAAATATTTTGCATATATCATTCATTTCCTTCCATTTTCTTTGATATTATAATTTATCTATATATTTTTTCCATTTTTTTCGTTTCAACTTAAAATTAATTTTCTGGGAAATGAATAAAGTTGTACAAGCAATTTGTAATTTTTCCTTTCTATTTTTTCACCACATTTTCTTCCAATACATTAATTCATTTACTGTAATTATAGTTTAAATTATAAGTGGTAGCTTTTGAATCTAAATTTAAAACATTTGCAATGATCAAATTTATCTTTGAATTGCTTCAACTAAAAAAAAAAAGAAAAATTATTAAGCAGCAATTTCACAAACTTATTATGAAATATATTGCAAAAGTAAGGAATGAAACATCTTTTGTTCGAACTCATTCCATTTTTCTTAAATTTTTTATTTAACAAGATAGTTGGTATTCGTTTTTGGAAAAAGAAGAAAGAAATCGAGTCATCATTTAGCTGAAAAAGTTTGTAAAAATTTTTGGATCATTGCAATTAGCAAATTCTATAATTGATTATTTTGAGGAAACACGTGGATATTACGATTCAAGTTATGCTTTTATGTTTGTCAAGAATGAAATTACGCAAAAAAAGCAGACGTTCTGTGTTAATTATGAGCAATGGCGAGTACAACAGATAGCAAAAGACGTTAAAAATGCTGTTAGCATTTTCTGCAGCGAACTTTTAAAATTGTTTTCTTCATGCTGTTTTTGTTCTTTTTCCTTGCATGTGTGTGTGTGTGTGTGTTTGATTCATTTATTAGGTACGTTTTTGAACGTGGCAGAGTACTTGAAAAAGTGATAAACTGGCCTTTTACGTTTTGTGTATCAGTTATCTGTCCATACCGTAGTAAATGAGAATGTTATAAGATTCTTGAATTTATTTCAGGAGATATTACGACTTGATTGGTGGGGTGGAATCATTAACAACACTAATGTTTGCAACAAAGGTAAACCAGTTTTATTAGAGAAGAAAGTAGTAGCACTGAATTATCGTCTGAAACTCGAAGATGGCAGTTGTGCGATTCCGTTTATCATGAAGAATGCAAGCTTTAAGAGAGCTTTACAATATGAAGTAAGTGCATCTTTAATTTTAATTCTATTAGCATATTTATATAAGCTGTAATCAGTGTTAGCTATTCTTCAGTTAAAGGGTTTCATTAGTTCTCTGTTTATAGTTTTAAATATATCTCCAACAAGACTGGATTTTTTATATGTAACATTGTTAGGTCATATTGTTGAAGGCTTTTGCCGAGAAGCCATTATTCAGGTTTTGGCTGTAAAAAGTTTAAGATCAGGATAATTGAAATAATTAAACAGTTGATATTATGAGCTCTGTACAATGGATGCAGCAAAACAGTGGTTATTTTATTGAAAGTCTTTAAGATTTCTTCAAGACTTTTGTTGGTCATGTTGATTTTGATACTGTAGTGATGCATGTTTTAATTAATTTTTATTTTTATGTGTTTCTATGTTTAAGGTAGACCAGTTGGCTTCAAGAAATGCTAGTGCTGCCATTATTCTCATTGATAAGGGTCGTAAATATGTTACCAAATGGGCAGATTATTTGGTAAATACTCATACTTTGGAATGCAAAAAATTGTCTTCGAGAATTTGTACTTTTTTTGGTATACATACTTGAAAATTCTTATAGTCCTTTTGAAAGGAAACTCATCTTTCAGTTTTCGGAATTTTACGATCCGGATTTCAATCAGTCCACTAAATTGCCGGCATTTTTCATGTACACTGCTACATTCTTCAACGAAATGCTGGTAATGCTATTTGTATTTTTGTTCCCATAGTTCTGATGTTATTTATGGTTGAAGAATTAACTTTCGAACAACATATGATTGCATTTCAAAGTCGAGGACAACCATACTGACAGCTGAAGTCAGTGTAATTGCTCCTACCAAAATATGGCAGCAATGATCTACCAGTCTTAAATTAAATTTCGTAATGTTTTTGATGAAAGACTAAATTAGTCATACAAACGTTTAAAGAGTTTTGGATAAGACAACTGTAAGATAGGGTAGGTAATAAAAATTGAAACGATTAGAGCCAGGTTTATTTTTTTTTTTTTTTTTCTCTTTTTTTTTCAATATGTTCCTTTTTTGATCTTAATGATACCGAAATATAGTATATTTCAGCAACTGAGCAGTGATGGAAGTGGCAGAGAATTATTATTGCAGTTCTATAGACCGTTGAATTCTCGATGGGATATATCCATGTTAATTATATGGCTTATAGCTGTATTTTGTGTAACACTAGGCGGTTACTGGGCTGCTCTTCGAAAAATGTTTGTTTGTTTTTTTTTTTTTTTTTGCTTTTCTTTACAAATACTTTCTGATAGGTTAATTATTTCTGTGATTGACAATACATCAATTTTTAAGATCATTGAGGAGCGTTAATCACATTCATTTCATAAAGCTATTTACATTGGAACTGCATGAGATTATTTTTCTAAAGTTTGTTTAACTTAATTACGGAATGCTGTAAATTTATTTTCAAGGTAATGGTTATTGATTTAAGTTTTAAATACTGATTAACTACATTAAAATTTTTGCTAATGTTCGATTACTTAGCGCTATTTATGACTGTTCCGACTACTGAATCTGTTAATGTCGTTCAAATAAGTACATCAAATAAGCATTCAGATACGAAGAAATTGTTACTTTGCGTGGACCTCACCAAATCTCGACTAACGTTATGCAGAAATCAAGAAGTTGCCTAAATGATGAACAAATGACAACTTCAGCAAATTGCTTATTCATTATTATTATAATGCTTGTTGTTGTTGGTGTTTTAATGCTTGGTTTCTATTTTCGAGGTGTTATGGGTAAGTAAATTGCTGTTCTCATTGTAAGCAACTATTTGACAAACGAAGCAGGTTTTTTTCACACTTTTTTCTGCTTGAAATTTAAATGCAATGTATATATTTCGAAGATTTCGAGGGGTAGAATGGTAAATGTTTCTTAAAATATTATAAATTTGTCAGGGTAAGTAAGCTTTTCTAAATAAGTAAGTGAAAAAATTGCGTAATAATCAAATTTTGCAGTGTTCATTTTCAATATATTACTTGCAATCATTGGTACATTTAGTATTCATCGTTGTTTAACGGCATTATTTGGATCGATATGCAAATGTGGCCATTGTCGGGTAATTTTGTAACTGTTAATAATGAAATAGAATCTATTTGATTGATAAATCTCACTATGATCCTTAAAATTTAGTCTGCTTTCATATTTATTGTTCAAGTTTATTGGTTCTTTATGCGCCATTTTAAAAAAGACTGGTTAGTTGATATGGAACGGAATGTGATCTAAAGCTTTTAAATTCGGTGTGTTACCTCTTCTGTTAATGAAAATTCGAATATTTTGCGATTTCCATTTCATAGTATGTGTTATCTGAGCGTTGTACGTATATCAGTGAAATCCATCAAATCATTAATATAATCACAGAAAATTTTTAGCACTTTTGTAAAACAGTTGTCAGTCGTTTTATATCATTGTTAATTAATATTCTTTTAATATCACTTTTAAGGTATGCATTTCGATGAATGACATAACACAGTCAATATTCCGCCGTGATCTATTCAACTACGAGTGCTGCACCGAACGACCACTTGTGATGTCTGTGGTGGTTTTCATCGGTGCAGCATCATTTTGTGTCACCTGGTTTACAATCCGACGTGATCCATATGCATTTGTATTGCTTGATATCATCAACATTACTGTTTGTATCCATATTTTGAAAGGCATTCGATTTCCGAATCTGATGGTAAAATATTTCTAAATTTTGTACAAAATGAATCTATTATTATTATGACAACAAGATAATTCTTACGGTCTATTATGGAAAACAAGACAATAAAAAATTTTTCATTTCGGAATTATGTGGAATTAATATTACAGATTCAATATAACTACCAAAGATAGATTTTATAATATTTTGTTTTTATAATGAATAAGTTAAAATATCAATCAGGTAAATTTCTTTTAGTGAGATAAGTCATTTTCTTGAAAAAAGACATTTAACGTGATATTTCATGTATCTATGATAAAATTTTATTTCAGTCATAACTTTTTTTTCTTTTTTTTAAGTAATTGTTTTTAGTGGTTAACAGTTTTACTGACATGCATGTTTATGTATGATATATTTATGGTCTTTATTACACCTTTTCTTACCAAAAATGGATGTTCTGTGATGATTGAGGTTTATTTTTGTCAAATTATTCTTGATTATATAATTTACTTTTTTTAATTATTTCTTAATAAGTTATTTGCTTCACGAAAATCTCTAAGCAAATTTCAATTTATCAGTCTCATTTTCTACAAAATTATCGTATTTTTTTTACTTTTGTTGTTTATAGGTTGCAGCTGGAACAGATTGTTCAAAAACAAATGGTGGTTATCCTATAGCACCAATTAATACTGAGATACCGGAAAAGGTACTCTTAAGCTTGGTAACTTTGGAAAAAATAAATAAATTGGATTCTGAAATATTCACATTACTTGAGTGATTTAAGAAGTTGAAAATTATCTTTCAATATGTGGTACATTTGCAGTTTCCGATGCTTTTTCAAGTGCCACGATTAAGTGACCCAATGATTTCATGCATTGATTTAGCAATTGAGAAGGAATTTCATCCAGTAATCCTTGGATTGGGTGATATTATAGTACCTGGTTAGTGTTTTTCTGAACACTAAATTTTGTAATTTAGAAAGCTTTGTAGTCACTTTTGCGAAGAAAAACTTGATAGTGACAACTTTTTGCCTAAAATTTCTCTCCAGACTAGTAATGATAATTTTTTAGTATGAAATTTCCTAATTAATCCGAGCTGTTATTTCACCCATCATAATATATAGAATGCAAATCTGAGTGTGAAGGTACAAGTATTACTTTGCAGAATATTAGTTAAATCAATAAGGATTCAGGTTTTGTTGAAATCCGCCTGAAATTTATTTCCTTTTTTGCTAAATTATAATAACTTTTAAAGCATAATTTGTGAAGTCATAATCTTAACCATCCAACAAATTAATTTTAACGTATCGTTGTTAGGTTGTTGGTGATAAATAATACTGTAAGTTAATTACTTGTAATTTACTGTGTAATTTAGAAGAATCAGTCATTCATTTCTTCCTTTTCGAATAGGTTATCTGATCTGTTTTTGCTTTACCGTTGATTTCGTTGTTCGAACACGTTATCTTTATGGATTTATTTCAGTTAGCGGTTAGTTATTTTCTTTTTAATTTCGAATTTAAATGAGTTATTCACATGTTATATGTATTTTTTTTTTAAAGTGAATTAAAGGAAAATTCTTGCCCATTTTTTCAGGTTATGGAATTGGTCTTATTGTAACATTCGTCGCTTTAACATTGATGGAAACCGCTCAGCCTGCTTTAATTTATCTAATACCTTTTACATTAGGACCCATCATTATACTTGCGCTCATTCGGCGAGAGTTTAAGGTTCTTTGGATTGGAGATTTTCCGAAATCTGAGGTCGTTGTTATGCTTTCAAAGAAATTTCCACCAAATCAACTTTTTACTTATTTTAGCTAAGATGAAATTTTCTGGTTAAAAACAGAAAAAAAGAGTAGCAGAAGATTTGGTTGGAAATATTGCTACTTTTACCATCAGTATGTAACCTGCGTAGTATTAAATTTATTTAAACATTTGCTTTTCACGTAATATTAGTTCTTCGTAATTTCTTTTGGTTTTATTGCAAATATTTCTGTTTGTCCTTCGTTTTGTGCGAAGGAAATAAACTTTTATTGATATTATTGATTACTTTTGACGATGATGAACAAGGGTTTATTGACACAGTACCTTTCAGGATCATTCATTTTGCTTAAGTTATCATTTCTTGGCTTCCAGAAATTCTGAATAAAATTTCGTGTCTTAGGAAATAGTTCTATTGAACTGAGTGATGTAAATGTTAACTAATTCCTTTAACACTTGTGTGGCTTTCATTAAATTAGAGAAAAAAGTAATTTTCAGAATTCTTCTCATATTTCGCGAAATTCTGCCGCGGATACGGCCAGTAGTGCTGTTAATTCGGGTAGTATTGGTTTTGATGAAGTTTCTGTGACATTACCAGCAGTTTTACCATGTAATACAGGTTAAAAGGAAACATGACGATATACTTCTTGAATTTCTGAAAGCAGTGCTGATAATTGGTTCGTTGGTCTTTCAATGTGGATTGCTAGGTTCTTTGTTTAATTTTATGTTTCTTTTTCATTTTTTACTCTTACAAGGTTTATTACTTTCATTTTCTATTTGTTTTTTCTCTCTTGCATAACATTATCTTTAATGGATCCAGTTTTTTTTTTTTCTCCCCCTTTTATTATAAACGTAGACAAGATAAAGATGCATGGATGCTTATATTTTATAAATTTTATATTGTTAGCATATCATTGTTTATGATATGTTATCACTAAGGATCAATAATGTACTACCTTCTTAATCACTAATAAGTATTAAGTTATAAATAAATGACTCACTTATCTACGTAATATCAAGAAAACTTTTGTAATCGCAAGAAATGATCAGTGATTGTAACTAATCAATATAGACTGTATTGATTAATTAGTTATTGACATTAGGATGATCATTTGCATGATCTTCTCATTCATTTTGTATATTGAATATTTTATTAAAGGATCTAATCAGTTATTATATCTGGTGAAACTCATTAATAATTTCTTTTACCCAACACACTGTGATTCATTATTTATAGTTTTTTTTTTTTTTTTTTTTTTTTTACATTTATACTTGTAATATTTTCATCGTAAGTTAAGGAAGAAAAGTTAAATTTGTGCAAGTGCAGCTTATTTCCCGGTAATATGAATGAGTATATGTGATTACTTTTAAAAATTCTTCACAGTATTAAACATTTTCAGTATTCTGAGTAAATGTTTAATTGCTTTAATACTTTTAGTGTATCAGTAAAATAATTAGCAGCTCTTTTGGGAATATGTAATGTAATATTGCTATTTAATTCTTATTTTCATACATGAAATATAAATACAATAAATTTCATTCTCATTTGAACTATACTCTCAAATTTTTAACGTATCCATTGTCTTTCCTTCTTATTCTTTTTTAAATGTTAATTTGTTGTTTCCTGTATTGCATGTTGTCTTTATCTTTAACAAGTTTTTCGCTTTTCAATTGTTACTACTAACTTATCTCATGATTTTATTATAAAATTTCACCTCTTTATTGTTTTATTATTTCTTTTTTACCTATTTTCATAATGTTGAGCTGTTTTCTTCTTCTTCTAATTTTTTTTGTAATGAAAATATCTAATTCATTTAGGAGAAAAAATCGAATTTAACACTTCCAATGAGGAAAATAGTATTTGAATTGATTATTGAGCATCACAATTATAATTTGAAATGAAATTTATTGAGTTAAAAATTTGCTTTGAAATTTGTATTGCATTGATATCGAATTATATTATGCTTTCTTTATCTTATTGAAATACTTTCTTTTCGATTCATCCTTTTCATCCCTGTTACAAGAATTCGGTGATATTTTCAACAATGTCTGTATAAGTTTTATGCTTATCACATTTCATTAAAATGTAAGTAAAATACAATAGATAGTCTGTTCGGAATGTGAAAATTGCATTAGATGTTTGAGATCAGAGAATTTACAATTCCTATCAAAGAATGTGAAATAGATGGTATGATCAGTCCGTTTGGAATATTTTAAAGATAACAAAATTGAAATTGAATGAAGCATGGTGGTACTCAACACTATTCTTATCTCTATTTAATTTGCACTTTTTTTTCTTTAGCAAAATTTAATTTAAGATTCTTCTTTTGTTTCGATCGTACTGATAGATTATATTCCGACAGGAAGTTAAATTTAAATGTGATAAATTAAAGAAATTCCATTTTACATATAAAAGCATTAAATCCATCCGTTTATAAACTGCACAGCATATTTTGTGAAATCAACTCACAGTATATGAAATAAAAATGGTAACTATGAATGTATTTGAATATTTGAATTGTCAACCATTTCTCATAGAATTTTCTTCTTCGTAAATATTGCAAAATGCTAAAGGTGGCGAAGTTAATGAGGAAAAATTGATGTCAAATTAGGTATTTGAGCGCTATTGTCATTATTAATTTGTGAAAACTTTAAACCATTATGAGCATTTTTCCGTAATGGTAATTAAAGTTGGAAGTTTCCTTATCTGTTTACTTTTTCAGTTAACATTTCAACAAGTTCTGTAATTTATATCAAAGTTTCATAAAACTAATCCTTGTGATATAAATGTAGCAAAATTGAAAAACGAGCAACGAGCAAAAAAAAAAATTAAAATTAAATTTTCTTTTGAATTAAATACGTCACAAATCTGAATGATTTATGAGAAGAGAACGATCATATAGTATTTGTTTACAACAATGTTATCTTCAATTAAAATTTAAAATTAGCGTTAAAATAGATAAATCATTTAAAAATGTTTCTTTTTTTCTAAAATCAATTCCTACTTAATTTTGATAGAATTTTAGATTAAAAAATATTTCAAAAGAAGAACATAACAACTACAACACATATACTTATCACTTCAAATTTAATCAAGCAAAAAAGTGTTACAATTTCATTTCACATAAATAATTCATATTATAACACAAAATGTATAATTTCAAATTCAGATGTACAATTCGTACTGCAATCTCTTTAGCACTGATTTTAGACCATTTATTTCATTCATTAACTGACAATTTTAATTAATTAATTAGTAATAGAACAAACTTTTTCCCATATACATTGTTATCTGTCATGTTTTAACACATTTTGATTACACACACATATACACACATACACACACACACACACACATATACACACATACACACACACACACATATACACACATACACACACACACACATACACACACATACACACACACACACATATACACACATACACACACACACACACATATACACACATACACACACACACACATATACACACACACACACACACATTATTGTTGTTAATAATCGTTTCAAGCACTGATAAATATTTTCAGTTAAAAAAAAAGAAAAAAAGATTGTTCCGAATTAAAAACTAACTGACAGTTATAAAAATTTGAATTAATGCATTACTATTTCGCTAACAATACAATTACTAAATAAGATAAAATGAAAAAACATTTTATTATGTAAAATTTTTTATTTAAAGCTTAAATAACTCAATAATTTTGTTAACTTACTTAATTAAACGAAAAATGGTAAATTTTGGCCTGAAAAGATAAACTATTAATTAACGAATAATTTGATTGCAAATTTATGAATGGTATAACCATTCGAATATTTTGTTAAAGTAATTGTTTGGATGATATGAAAAAGTGGAAGGTTTTATTTTTGAATTGGAAACATCTTATATTTTCGAATTATTTTTTGATTGAATTAAAAATTTTACTGAATCAATTTAATATTTCTTAATACTTTTATATTATTTGTTTTCTTATTACTTGTTTGTAATTTATAAATTGTTTAAAAATAATTAGAAATGTAAAAATTTTAAATTATTAAGGATGAAATTTAGCAATTACATGGAAAAAAAAGCAATAACTTAAAGTATTAATGATAGAATTACGAGTAATTGTCATATAATAAAGTATTATTATATGTTCAAATTATTTTCATTCTTTTATATAAAAATTATGAATAAATAAAGAAATAATTGGTTCACAATGATGATAAAATGCAAAAAAAAATTTTTTTTGCTTTATTTTTAAATTTTGATTAGTTTAAAGAAAAATAAAAAATAATTAATTCATTATTTTAGCAACAAAGGAAGCTTATTGTTTATTTGGAGAAGACTTATTGTTTATTTGCATATGAGATGCTATTTAAGTCATTGGCAATTTGTGTCACAGCCATGCGAGCGTCTTTACGCGCTCAATGCATTAATTAAACATTTAAATGTGATTATTGTACGCTTACAAATTTGATTGTTGGATTGTTTTTTTTTGGTATAATTTTACAGTTTATTTGATAATTTGTATTCTTTTTATTATTATTTATCTTAATTAATTATCTAATAATTTGTATTCTTTTTATTATTATTTACCTTAATTAATTATCTGATAATTTGTATTCTTTTTATTACTAATTACCTTCATATGTATACTTATATCATCAAATTTTTCTGGTAATTTTATAAAAAGTATAATTGAATGTTAGTAATTTGTAAAAAATAATTATTTGTTGTTAATTATTTGAGCAATATTTGAAAAAAAAAGACGACTATATAAATTATTAAATTAAGAATTAGCTTATTACTACAAGTTTGTTTATCGTAAATTATATTAGATCTAATTGATATTTATTGTTTGCTTGATTTATTGTTTTGTTTCTTTTCTTTTGTCTCAGCATAACTTAAAATTATATCTCATTGGTGTTACGGATTAGTTACTTAATTTCTAAGGTATTTCAGCAAAAAAAAAATAAGGGAAATAAAAGTTCTGAGTGAGGTGATGATGACGCCGGAACAATGTGAATTTATTGCCGGTAATGAATGGATTCAGGTTTATTTTTGCTGTGTTTGGAATTTAATTTTTGCTAATCCTACCCACAGCTTTCTTGCTTCAAGAAATTCAAATATAAAATAAGTTTTGTTAAGTTAGATTAAATTTAACGAAAAACAAATCGTGTTTATACATGACCGAAAACAACTTGTTTAGCAAAAAATAATTTCATTTCACAGATAAATCCGCAGTTTAATTTGGATGAATTGCATCTGATATGTGGTGATATTGGACCATTTGAAGCTGGTATGCCTATTTGGGTACCACTCTGGATAGCAGTTACGTTAAGGAAAAGGCGAAAATGCACTATCATTGTTGGTTTTTTTTTTTTTTTTTTAATGACAGTGGAATTTATCATAATTAGCAATTGTAATTAATTCAGAAAGTGTGGTATTATGCGAAAAGTGTGATATTATTATGAAGAATTATATCTTTGCTGATATTTTTGTTTTAAAACATTTTCCTTTGTTTTTTTTTTTCGTTTGAAGCCACCACAATGGTTATGTGTGGAGGAGTTGAAAAAGCTTGTAATAGCGGAAAGTGGAACTAATGCATTTGGACAAGTACCACGGTTTTATTTGGAAATAGCTCACATGTTCGTACAATATGCCAAAGAAGATCTTCCGGATAGCGATATGGTTTGGAGTTTTATTTTAATCAGAGGGTGAAACGGTCCTTTAGGAATTTAACACCTCATGTAAGACCAGACATTCCTGTCGAAGACCACCACTTCAATTTCACTGATATATTATTTAGTCCAAATGAGTAAGAAGTGAGATCTCCAACGTTATGGATAGAAAAAATCACTCCATTATTGATATATAGTAGGAAGCCTACTTTATCCTTTCTTGTGAATAGAAAGTAATCAAATCTGCAGCAACTACTCTCGCATGAAACTCAATTTGAATTTTATGGCTTCTTAATTGCTTTTTAACACTTAAGCGTTTTTTTTTTTTTTTTTTTGTCTTCTTGTTGCTGAAATCTCTTGTAACAAAATATTCCATTTCTGGTAGATCAAAATAAAACTTATTTTCTTACACAAAAATATTACCTTTCTAATATAAAAACATTTCATTCATGAAACGGTGAGTAAGGTTCATGCCTTTTAAATTATGAAACAGATTTTTGATTGGTAATGGTAAATATGGTAAATATGAACAATGGTGAAATGGAAGTGATGAAAAAAGATGAGAAACAAAGGACGAAAAACTTATCTCAGCATGAATGGTTTTTAATGCCTCCTAAAATGAGACAAACTTTGCAAACTTTACTTCAAAATTCGCTTAAATTACTTAAAATATCTCAACTACATACGCATTTAAGAGCTCAAGTCAATCGTACAGTACACACATAATTAAAGAATACATTTAAAATATTAGATATTACTCTTCTGCCTTACAAATCCTAGCTACTCGCTATTCGCTCTCGCTTAAGCTAAATTATTTAATCATAAATGCATGCAATGTGAGCAGCAGTTTCTTACACTATTACCATTTTTTGCAGATACGAGTTTATGTACAAGATTTATGGGATAAGCGATCTGCAAAGCTCAACAATTCATCGACTAAATTTTTGGGACAGGTATATTCATTATAGTTGAAAGGATGAACAAATTATGATGCAAAATTGTCTCAACTATACCTACCAAAGTGCAACATCACATGTAGCGTCGATTGAAAAAAGTTAAGATTGTGTACCAGTTTCTGCTTTTATCAATCTAAGCTTTGTATTGAAACTCTTTCATTTTTAGATTTTTGGATTTTAGAACCATTCCATTTTAAATTGCACAACAATATTAGTTACAATAACAATTAGTTTCGCATATCTCGATTATATGAGTAAATGAGTAATTAATTCCTCGGCTATACTAACCATGAATAGTTGACAATTGAAGAAAAATATAATATGGACATTAATGAACACGTGAACAATACCTATGATTCAGTAATAATTCAAATGTATATGAATGCTGCCTATACTAATTCCTTAGTTTCCCACTCTCCTTTCGTGTCTTTTTTATGATCTCTTCTTCACCTCTCATAAGTTATTGATTGTCTGCTGTAATAACCGTATTACAGGTAGAATCATGTCATGCAAGAATGGACAATATTACTTTGATGGAAGTAGCGTATATTAAACGATCACTAATTACAGCCAGTCGTGAAATTGAAGCGCTTAACAAGTCGTTTCATGAATTATCCAGTCAAAACAGCAGTGATCAAAGATATGTAATAGCTTGAAAAGATGTGAAGCACTTGAAGCACTCCTCCTATATTTTATTGTTTTTCTATTTGATCATTGCATAGGGATCATATCCTAAAGATAAATATGAATTTTCCTGTTCAAGAATCCCTTTCTTGCTCCTACTTCTTCCCCCTTTTATGTTTATTTCTCAAACAGTAACAGTTCGTCGAAATAAAGTTACTGTTATTTCATTACGTTAAAAGCCATAATTACATCCATATCTTCCTCACATAGTTGGTTATTAATTCCAAAAGTGCTTTCCCAACTTGACTCGAAAATATTTGCACTTGTCGAATGCAACATCTAAGTTGCTTTTGCCTCTTCATACTTAATTTTCCTCCTTCGACAGTATGCCAATAAAAATGTCTGCAATATTTCCATTAATGCGTCCACTGCAACAGGATTACCAGCCACTATCTTTAAAGCCGTAAACATTTGTTCCTCTGTACAATCACTGAAATAGAAAGACCAGTCACTCGTAATACAGCTTCCTAGAGACTTAAAAGTTTTACCCATAGCTAGTGATACATTACCAAATAACTTATAAAGAGTTACTTCATTCTTCGCATATGTTACTTCATTCTGTTATAACCTAAGATATGAAGGTAACAAAAAAAAATCTCAACGAATCATAGCAAATTTTCATTCATAGATGAGAGGTATATCCAGATAATGCGATTAGCATAATTCAGAACAATTATTTTATACCCAGCAATGTTCTTCTTTGGCATAATCAAAAAAAAAGACCTGAGCAGGCAGCTTATACAGGCATCCCTCAACACGTTACATGTATCACTTCCAGTAGAAAGCATAACTTCCAGATAATTCGGCAGTGTTTCACCGCTGATCAAATTTCTGAGCGGACTTTCGTAAGCTAGTAACTTGGAGCTTATCCCAGTGCAGAGGTAACGGTCCGACAGCTGTAAAATTTTCCATTTACAGTCATCTGTTTACAGGAAGAAATTTTACGTCCCTCTGAATTCCGACATATATTAAGTCTAAGGGAATTTCTGAAGTGCGCAAATGTTATATATGGTACTATTTGGGTTCTATAATATACTTTCTAGTAACAGCATGGATGCATACTTAATACAGTTAAGAGTGGATCTGACCAAAATAGTTCGTGTCTCCAACAGTTAAATCTAGTAGTTCATGAGATCAAAGCAGTATGTTGCGATGGCCATATAATTTGGAATAAATAAGAATCGGTCACCTTTAGCAAAGCTGGTATATCATTTTCAGTTATTTTCACGCATGATTTGCCACAGCCACTTAAATAATGCAAGAAAATAGAAAATAAGCGAAAAGAGCATTGTTCTTCCTCTTCATCAAAATTAAATGTATCCCGGAATTGCTCTGAAAATCCACTTCCAAACATACCCTGAAAATTAATTTTTAAAGATTAACTTCCCAAAGAAAAAATAATTCACATATAATATTTTGAGAGTTAGTATTTGTCATTCTTATAACGTGTCGCTGATCGAGAAATAAGCAATTCTCAGGCGAAGCTATAATTATCATCTCTTCCCAAGAATTGCAGAAGGAATTACAATGTGATTATTTTAATAATCAGTGTTTATATTTTGTATTTACAGTTGGCATGTATTTAAAAAAATTCAGCTGAAAAATATTCAACTATATTAAGTTATCAAACACAATACCCAATTAGTTCGGCATAGTATCTCATTTTCGTGGCGTTTCCCTAAGTTAAAAGTGATTAGTGTTCTAAAAATTCAATACATTTTAGATTTCCTGATAAATCTGCACATTATATGCAATTAGGAGAGTGATGAAATTGAACTATGATAAAATCGTAAAAAAAAAATACCCGAAAATATTCACTTCCTTCACATAAACATTTCTTGGGAACAACTTCCATTATTTTACCACATTTAAATTTGATGAATTCCGGTAAACTAAATGTTGTCGGTATGGCCTTTCTTGATAGCAAAATTGCTTCCTTCACAATACATTTATTAAGTGGCATATCCCTACTGATGTAGACCGAGATATCACTCCAGATAGCATGTAAAGAAGTCGACAGTACATCTGATGGAATCAAAAATGATAACGCAACCAAAATTTGACGAACTAACGTTGGCTGAAAAAATTAAACTTCCTCCAGATGTTAATTAATGCATAAGCAATCAGCCAAAATCACTGAGGGATTAAACAGAGAAAAAATTTTGGAACCATGCATAACTTTTGTCTCTGCTCTAAAAACATTTTGTGTTCTTTATTCATCTGCTCTTATAGGTGTTATATATTTTTGAGTGAAGAACTTGAAAAAGAAAGGCACACCCCTTCACAGTACGTTGTTATACGCCAGTTTTCTTCATAACTGCTATCAACCAATATTTCACGTAATTTTGCCAATAGACGTTCAACCGGGTTATGGGTTGCAAGCATCCGCTTCCAGTTATCGACTCTTCTGAAAAATGCTTGAAAATCACGCATATCGATTTGAAGAAAAACTCTCCTTTTACAATTTTAGTTCAATGTAAATTCAATTAAACTTTTACTTAAATATAAATTCAATTAAGCGTTTTACTTGTAAGAGTAAATTTTATGTTATAGGCATTGGAAATTAGCAGAACGGAGAGGAACTGAGCATTACGTATTGACATGATGTCAATTTCAGATTTGATATAAAAAATGAATTGAGTTTCTTCATCTTAATTTCTTTGCAACACAACTATTTCAGATCTCTACCCCATAATATAAGAATACAATAAAAAGATACCTAACGAGATGTAACGTTGCAATACAGGCCTTCATTTGTTCAATTTCATCGCTTGATTTATATATATTTTTAAGTACTTCTAATCCAAACGGTGCATCAATATGAGAAGAAAATTCTTCCAATAAAGCGTTACCAAAATCGCTTCTTATTGCACATTCTGAACATTGCGAAATTCGCCTGAAAATTTAGATAAATCGAGGCATAAAGTGGAAAAACAATCAAACTATGCTTCTTATTGGCACAGTGTCAATCTGCTACTCCTGGATGAAATATAATTAATGATAGCTGTTATAAAAAAGTTGATTTCCAATAAAAAATTTCGTTGGCAACAAAATAAAAAATTATAGTCCAAAAAATGGAAGAGTCAAGCATGGTATATATTTTATCAAAAAACGATATAAAAATAAAAAGACCAAGCAACGCATGCTAAAATGATTTGAAATCGAAATTTAATGAAGTATAATACTGTGAACTAATAACCATGTAAATTAATAGTGAATAAGACCGTACTGTCTATCACGTTATATAAGTAGATTAACATATATTTGCAACGCAACAACGAAATAATAGAGCTGAGAAGCATACTTTCCAACTTCGCATTTCCGTGTCAGCAGGATATGGATGACAAGAGTATGCAACTCTAAACGAGATAAATTCTCCACTGCTAAACGATGACGAAAAATTCGTCGTATCGTACGTGGTGCTTTGGAAACCATCGATGGTGCTTCAGAAATGTAGTGTAGCAAAGTACTGACAATCTGAGAAAAAAGGAACATATCACATTATGACACTTTGCAGTCTTGTAGAAATTAAATATATATTTAAGGCTATGTTATAGCAACAATAGTCTTGTCTTATCTACATTTTGCTTGCTACAACTATTTTTTTAGGGGACTTCCAATTCTTATTTCTTTATTTCACACACTTAAAGTATATGGCTAATCGTACCTATTTCTCAAAAAAAAAAAAACTTTAGGCTTATCTTTTTGATATATGAATAGTATGAAAAGTTACTTTTGATGTAATCATTCGTCTCATATTAGACTCACTGTGTGATAACCAAGCCAAAATATACAATTCACCAACTACCAGCTAAAATAGTTTATATAGTATACAATTAATATAAATTTAATATTTGTGTGACATACAAACATATCAATTCCAGATAACATTAAACCCAAATGGCTGTTATTACTGACATAATCATAGAAATGTTAATAAGGAATTTTGTTAAATTCATAAATGGTACCTACCTCCGTATTCTTGTGAGGTGTATGTGAAGCACGACTCAAATAATTGATATGATTATTTGTTGATGTTGGACGTTCCATGCATTCGATGTATTCATCCATCAACGATGTCGGTGAACTACAACTCTCACTATGTAGCGTGAAATTTGATACTCGAAAATTTTAACTTGAAATGATTTGGTAGGCATTTCGGTAATTAATAACATAAACTGACTACAATTTAGTATTAAATTTTCTAAATTGGATAAGTGAATTGCATCCTTATGTATGGAAACAAAAGTCTCACGTTAAGAATGATTGATTATGCTTATCTACAATATCTAATTTTAACAAAATCTTTGTACTATCACAACAAATCATGGGAGGGAAAGTGGACATATATTAGATATGCGACCTTATTGTTTGCTACGATCAGTGATGCTGCTACGCCCTCTCCCAGTTCTTTCTTTTAGGGAATTTGGCTTTTTTATAGCTAGACTCCATGCATAATAAAATAAAAAGAGAGAACTCAAACAGTGGCACTCTTTTTGGTGACATCTGCGGTGATCGCATCCCAGGTGGTGGTGACTGCGATGGACTCCAAGAAAATTCGACCAATTTTCCAGACGAGAATGCATCAGAGTCCACAGCATGATTGAGCATATCAAAATTGGTTGAGTGAAATGGCATTAACTAAAAATGATTTCTCTTTCGAAACAGATTGATATTGTCTGGTCATTTTCAAGTCTTTTAAATTTAAAGAAAAGTTTTTATACCTAACCAGTGTAAGTCTTCGTATTATTCTCAACATAAAATTAGCTCCTTTAGCTGCCCATAAAAATGAAATCATTTTTGAAATGGCATTTAACTCTAAAATGTGCATACCATCATTTTGCAACATAAACACTCTGTTTTACGATGTCCTATTTTGTTGTGGATTGAACATTCACTGATAGCTCGATTTAGCATCATCTAAAATCTTTTTTATCAAATATATTGTGAAAAGTTTATATCTATTAAGGATGAGAAAAGGAAAAAAATGAATATGTTTCGTTTCATAAAAATAATATTGCAATTCGATCAAATTTAAAATAACAGGATGGTTTGAAGCGATGCGACACTAATTAAAATTCATCAAAATTGTAAATGATAACAAAATACATCTATTTTAAAAATTTTTTAAATTAAATAAAAAGAGGAAAAAGTTTTATATAATCGAGCAAAGGTAAGAATTTTCTAGCTTTATAATTTCCCAGCTTGCGCGTTTATGAATATGAAAAAGGTATCTAGAACTGAAAATTTAAGCATCATGTTATGTGATATACTAAACTAATGTGTGACAGATCGCAACACATGCGTGAATGGACAACGGATGTACAGTATAATTAAGTATTAGCAAGACAAACTACAGTTTAAGATAAGCCGAAACAAGTACTGGATACTTACACTACAGATACGTTTATTTTTGTTCAAGTAAAGATTGATGTGATCCACAACAACATCCAGGAATTTGGTGGAAAATGTCAGGTAGCTTAGTCCACTTCCATCATGAACAAAGTATCTAAAAAATGGATATATCCGAAAAAAAAAATGGAAAATATACAAATCCGCAGTAATATTATCAAAAAGCTTCTTGGTTTAGAAATGATAAAATGTTACCTTCCTTCTTTTTTTTCCTTTCTGGATGCTTACATTCTTTCATAACTTTCCTCCCTTCACACTAATTTTCTGCTTCATTCTATCTTTCTCTCTTCAGTATTAAATGATTATTAAATGACAAGTTTTCCGATAATGTAAAATTTAACGGAGAAGTATGCACACACCGAAGCGTATTGACGATTAGTATCTGATGTACAGAATCAGCTTTTTCGAGTCCATCAATAAGTATATCTAAGGCACCGTGTCCACGAAGTGCTGCTCGTCCCCAAGCATCCTTAACTCATCCAAAATCAAATCTATTTCTTATGTTTTTATTCGAAAATGTATCTCCTTCTCTACGTACCAACTTCATCCTCCTCCTTCTTTTTAACGCTCTCTGTCCCGAAAAAAATCTCAAGTTCATTTTCTCTTCATTCCATCAAATATTTTTTTCTTACACTAATTCTGTTAACTACACCTGTGCAAAGCATAGAAGCATTTTTAACATATATTCGGGACGTGGATGTGTCTCAACAATTTTCGTTATACAACCCGGTGTTTCGAACTGCTCGCGAAGTTCAAATGACGCATTACACATTTCCACGATATAGCTTTCGCATTGGCCTTCCAGGAAACAATCCAGCAAAACACCAACACCATTACTGAAAATTAGAATGAAAAAAAAGAACCTTTCCATTCATTTCGATTATCATAATATAAGTAAAAAATATACCCTTTTTCACCAACAGCCTATTATGATGTTGCAACTTTAATTTTTCTGATTACGAAATACAAACTTTATTTGGACAAGGACAAGGATCTGATCAGGAAGCATATATGAAATATCCTTTTAATTAATTTACATACTACAAAAAGCTACCATCCAACAGATTAATTAATCCGGTACTCTATTACCTAAAATAAAAAAATCCGAGGTTTTATTATAGTTCTAACCTCCCTGCCAGTTGTCGTCCAATTCGTTTCGTACCTTTATATCGGACAAAACGACAAATTAATTGCAAGATAGTTTGTTGTATTTCACGTCCAAACGCCTCTGCCATTTCTTTCGTTCGATATAATAAATTACCCAGGTAGAGACCAACATTTGACAATAACAAACGCTAAAAGACGACATATTTTTGGTATTTTTCAAATCTTTAGAACCCTAAATAAATTAGCTGAAATGAATTATGGAATAACATAATGATAGTAACACCAAATTTAGTTATAACAATTTTAATTTCCTTCAACATTTGTCCTACTTTTGCATATTTTGTTGTAGTTTTGGCACAAGAAAAAAAGGGAATTTTTTCATTGTTAAAAATAATCTCACAACGTAATGAATACGAAAATAGGTTGACAAAGTTTTAAATCTACAGTGCTGATCATCAGAGAATGGCTTTCATTGTTAGAAAGTGTAATTTCTGCTTTGTCATGACGATAACATTATTTTTTCAATCATTTGTGGCATTGTAAACCATATATAAACAGGTCATGCTTAGCTTGCCTTTCGTTAAAAATTTGAGCAATAATAATTCACTTATTTTATGCCAAATTAACAAATTCCTTTCCCTTTTTCTGCCAACTGAAATATGCTATTTTTGAATAGTTAAGACATTCATTTGCACTCCGTCCCATGCTGAAGCATTGAACGCCATGCCTCTTTAGTAAAGTGCGTCGCGCAAATCGTCAGCAGTTCGCGTCGTGTGCTGCTTTCTTCCGTGGGGAAATATTTTGCATTTGGGGAGCTTGGAGATATATGCTTAGAGTTTGATAACTGGAATTTATATTTAAATTTAGATTCTAAACTAAAACTTAAATTTTACGTCTTAAATGCAAGCCAATTAAAATATATATTTATCTGAGACAAATATATATACGGCATTTTTAGCAAAGAATAAGTGGCAGATAGTAGAAATCTAAGTTAACTAAGCAGACAGTAGAAATCTAAGTTATTAAAGAATCAAATAAAATTGGAGAGGAACATATGGTGTTAGATTGGTAAGTCTAAATATGTCAGTAAACTTTTTGCTTCTGAAGGAACAAATAATTTCTCGCTTACAAACTTAAACAATATTACATTTATATTAAAATACTTTGTTACACGTATAAAATAGTGTTAACTCGTCATTAAATATTAAGTAAATCACTTTCATTCCTCTATAATTATTACTTATTTTTTGCATAGTGATTTCTAGAGTTCATTTAGTTGAATGACTGAAAGCAAGCAGTGTGGTGTGTTAAAAGGTGGTCATGCACCAGCCGAAAAAATCGCTGGTGGTGTACGAAGAACTCGAAAAGCGCGACTTAGTTCGGAATCTGAGAGAAATCAAGAGAAGAAATTGGAAGGACAAGATTCATCACAAGAGGATTACGGCAATGAATCAGAAGAACAGTCAAAAAATGTACTCGCACATAGCGGCCTAGTTGCAAAGGTAGTAGTAAGTTTAGTCGTTTTCTTTATATTTGAAGATTTCTTCGTACATAACAATTTACCTCATCAATGGATTATTTATTGTCCCTATCATAAGTTTAGCATTTATTATTGTGCAAACAATAACGCTTCCCGAATTAACATAATTTTCCAGACAAATAAGGATTATCCAGAAGAAGCAATTCGCGCTTATCATGATAAGCAGATACCACAGCTTCACAAGTCAACAAAACCGAATATAATTCTATTTCAACCTATCAAACAATAAGGAAATTACAGCATGTACTCTAAAGATTTAACATTTATTTTGACTATCTAACACTATCTTATTTCCACTACACCACATTCCACATTGATGAAAGCATAAGACATGTGAGGATTTATTACATTACAGAAGTTAAAAGTGGGATCAAAGAACTGCTTTAAGCTATTGTATTGAATAATACTGGTATGTAAGGATTTATAACATGACAACAAGAGAAGTAGAAATAATACATGAAAAAAGGATGGTGATGTATTTACCCGAAAATTAGACATATTTCCTGCAACCATGATTAAGAACTGGTTAGTGATGATGCTAAATGATAAGATGATTTGACCTTCTTTTCATTCCATTTCCTTTTTTTATAAATGTACATATTTGATTTTAATTGTAAGCTCCTTTAAAGAGTTTCTTTTTAAGAAATATTTTTCTTGTAAATTTGATTAGTATTTTACCTTTCATTTTACAGATATCCCCATTTGTGCTGGTTCGCTTCAATATATTAATCAGAAAATAAATATCTTTCAAAAATCTTATTTATTTTTCACATGTTAAGACTAGTCACCAAGTCCAAGCCCATTTCGGTAATTAGTACATTATGGCGGAAGTTCCAGATCACTAAAGGCTTTTTAATTAATGTTTTCCTTTATAGATCGTTTCAAAAATACTTAACCACTGATAGCAGAAACGATATTCGTACTTACCAGTCCACACATACTGTGGAAAAGGAAGAACTACACTTTACAGTACTCATCGATCTTAAATCTTCAGATCACAAATTTCGTCAGAAAGTGGTGGTCTTGCTTCTCAAATTCATAGAAAATGAATGAATTACAAATGTTATGGATTGAAGCACTACATGTCAATCTAAGGAAACATATTCATATCATGCTCCTAACTTTTCTAAAAATACGCTAGCTTTCAAAAATACGCCAGTGACTTCTTTTTTTGAAGATATGATCGACCGACAAATTGATATCTTAATCAATCCCTCACTCATGCTGTGATGTATCACTTCAGTTAGAAATAAAACGCGATTCATCTGTAGCTGATTTTGGAAAATAATGAACTTACTTTGATACCACTTTTGTTAACTGCTAAAAAGTTTGCTGCTTTGAGAGCCAATTTCGCCACTTCATTTACTTCATGATCAATCGCCATTGCTATACGATCCACCAGATGGGTATTTTCGGCAATTAATTCCATACATCGTTGATCTGTTGCAACATTACATATCAAACGAAATACTTCGCATTTTGTCTCCATTGGTACTTTCGGACCACTTTCCAGCAAACGAACTAAATTTTTGAAATTTCGCGAAATTAATCGAAATCTGCGAATGAACTTAGAAGACATTACACATTTTGTATGATTAGCATTTTTATATACTTGTTTCTCTTAATTTTCCACCAGTATTTTCCAGTAACCGTTATATTTATCTATATCTGGAACAAACGTTAACTCTAAACAGACAGCCCGGTAAAACCAACAACTTCAAGCTTGCAAACATGTCTGGGATTTTTTCCATTTCAGAAGATATGCGTCATTTTACCACAACATCGGGAATATGACAAACTAAAGCACTTCAAATTTAAGTAATGATTAATCAAATAAACTAAGATTCAAATATACCTGCAATATTCGCAAAGTTCCCGGGTGGTTCAGCTAGCTGCAATGTCTCAGTAATAGAAAGTTAGTTTTGAATCACAAGGGGCTTAAATTTGAAAAAAATTGATCAAGCTCATGAAATTCACATAAGTAATAAAAACCAACCTCCGAGCATAAAGAAGGCACCATCTCATAGATATTTGTCAAAACACACAAAACATCATTTAGAATCTGTAACCATTGCGGCCTGCAAATGAAAGAACTTTCATTAGTATATTAACACCATGCAAAGTACTACGCACTGAACACTAACACTTTCATTAACACTATGTTTATAAGTAGCAAGCTTAATAAGAAATGTATCTGACCTAATGAAAATAAATTCCAGAATGCTTAATTCTACCAATAGTATCAGTTTTCCTCATACCTTAATCGACATTTCAAAGCACCCATGCAAGACAATAAATACTTTTTTCTGTTATTACTGATGGAATCAAACATGAACATAAGAACTGAAGTAAAAAAAAAAAAAAAAAACTCTGAAACATTCAAGAACTAAATTTGCATTATAAATATCGCTTTTTTTTTGTTATTTATTCCAACGAAATTATAAAAATCATAACCATAATATTAGTTCTTTGAAGTGATTACATTATAATATTCTTCTTCCCTTTGTTCCAACTTGTGCTTCTTGATACTGTTCTTTTTGGCAGCTTGCACAAAAAAAAAAACTTACTCATCATCAAAATTTTGCAAGGAACATTTCCATAGGACAGTCATCAGTGTAACCCCGATTCGTGGAAATTTTTTTGCTTTTAATTTCAATGCATCAACCTTTTTTATTTCCTAAATATTTATATAATTTGTATTAATACACGTCTTACTTTTGAAATATTGACTTAACTATATCTCCTCAATTCCATCAACTATAATAGACAAAATATTACATGATGTGTGACAAGTAAATATATCAGTCTAAACATGATATAATGTCTTATAATGATATAATGCTTTCTGCAATAATATTTATCACAGTACCGAGGAAATCAATTAAAACCTAGAATTCGAATTAATCTTAAAAATAATGTTAGAAAAGCCAAATTATTTCACTGATTTTCTACAATGACCTAACTCATCATTGATTAATCAAAGAATTCGATTTAGCTCGAAGATCTATTCGAGCATAGATGATTGCTAGGTTATTCATTTAATTTACTAGTAATTATTTGGATGATTGATTCCCAATATGAAGGAAGCAAACAAAAATGTGAGCCACCTTCAAATTCAGTAGGATATTCTTAATTTGTTTCAGATCATTTCCCAAAAGTATCGTCTCTGTCCCATCTAGCTCTTCCGTCCTTCGTCGTTTCGGCTTCGATGCCATTAGCACATATACCCTGCAAGTGGTTAATATTATGATTTTTTAAATATGATACAATCCAAAAGGACGTGTGCAATGTCGAAAACGTCAAATAAACGTTCGTGTTGAAGTACGCTCATTGACGAGAGTAAAAAAAATTACAAAACGAGAAGAACATGAATGCAAGCATGGAGTTGAGAGAGAAGAAGGGAAAGATATCAAAATTTCCTGCAATGTATGAATATGATAGTAGTGTAACATAGCACTAGGCTAATAGTGTTATATAAAGAAGTGAATGAAGTGCAGTAGCTGATCGCGAGAAGAATGCAGGACAGTATGTGTAGGAGTGCACTCCTAGTGATTGTCAAATTAAGTGCACTTTCGTGACGTGGGCAAAATAACATTCTATTGTATGTTTCAATATCTAAATCAAAAATGCCAAAGGCCAAAGTTTTTTGATAACTAAAAATGTGACAGGAGAAATAAACAAAGGCGTTAAGAAACAAAAACGACGCTTATAAGACATATTATGAATTTTAAACAAAATAGTTTCTTCAAAAATTATAAACAAACTCTTCAAAACTCTTCAAAAATTATAAACAAGAATAACATCACATTAAAGTGACAATAGATAAAATTCAAATATTCTGGGAACTTATGGAATTTAAAAAATTGAATGCTATTGTAATAAGGAATATATAAAAAGTTAAGACAAAGTAGTGTAGTGCAAAGGCATTAATGAAAACGTGTATTTACGTTGCAGTTCATCTGCAAACTTCGTGCAAATCATAGCTTGAAGTACGCACACGTGGGAAACGGAACCGAGAACTACGAGTACAAGCATAACTCATGATTTCAAAATGACCGCACAAGAATTTCCAAATGTATGTGTGCGTGTGCACGAATTATGCATGTATATAGTGCACATGCGTGTTGCACAAACTAGCACTGTTGTCGTTGTCCCACTTCCCGACTTACAGCATGCATGCACTTAGCAGACATATGCACGTGCACTCAAGGTGCAATTACCGTGTACTCGCACATACCAACATATGCCACATATGTTCGTGGAAATATGTAGTCCTACGAAAGTGTCTGCTTCCACGCACACGTGCACACACGTGCAGACATGCACACACACACACACACACGCGGATGCGTCTACAATGCGTCTGCACTGGTTTATCGATCGCATGCGGGACGGCACACACACCCACACACACAGGGAGCACAGACTGCGGTCGAATTCGAATTACCGCCAAGGGCCGCGACGCGAGACATGTATTTGCACTGGGTGCAGTGCGTCGCGTCCCTGTATGATATGCGCGAATTGGCGAGTCGTGCGTGTTCTGTGGTTATCACTTGTCACTTCCGTGTACTGTGGGGTTTTATGGCGTGAACTTGACGTGAACACCATAGAAAGTTAAGAAAATGAGGCAGCATTTGAGCGGGGAAGTTGGCTTCATGCGAGCGAGTAAGTTAGTGAACCAGGGAGTGCTGACGGAGTCGGTTAATTCCGTCAATTTACCGCATCTGCGTAAGGGTACGTAAGGACGAGTTTGTTAGGTGGGGTTATTGTGATGCTGCAAACGATACTATAACAAATATTCAATGATGACTGTCAGTAAGGTCCATGCAATCACGGAAATTGTGAGGAGATCCAACTAATAGCAATCTTAATTCGTTAATCGGTGGTGATAGAGAGTGACGAGTACAGTAAGGCACTTGCAGTATACTTACTTCTATTGTAATTTAATTGACATTTCTTATAGTTAGTCGAACTGTGCAGTCATAATTTCAGGCTCTTTTACATCTAATTGGGTGATTTATTGCAGTTAACTGTTCATGGTGAAAATTCTTTTTTGATAATGTAAGGATTTGCTAGTGAATATGAGAGACAAATGAGATTTTATTGTGTTACATTGATATGATATAGGATATGATCGTGGAACTTAGAGAACTATAACATACTGGAATAAGTTTAGAATTTTTTTTGCAGGAAGAATACCACCATGAGTGGAGTGAAACGTAAAGCATGCGTGAGAGAGGAAATATCACCAATCATCCCAAGCAAACATGGACGACGTTCTCGTAATGTTAGGGAAGAATTGCATGATGTAATGTCCTTCTTACATTCATTTTATGATAATTATAAACGATTATTTATCATCCAACAGATTTGATTCAAGTGGATAGTACTGGGATGTTTGTTGTTCAAAAAAAAAAAAATAAGTGATGTTGATTTCTTTTGTTAAAGAGTTCATTTATTTGAAATGTAACCAGTTAAAATAATTATAAAAATATTGAGCGGACTTGAGTTTTTGATAGCTGGGACAGTGGTAATGCGCTCTTTAAACCTCATGTTTTTAAACAATATGCAAAGCCATCTATGTTAATTAGAAGTAAACATTACAGATTTGCTGTTAGTGATAAACTGTTAAGCAAATTTAAAAAGGTTTCAGATAAGTAGCGGAAATTATACGTAATAGAATAATTACTTTGTACGTAATAAATAATGGAAATTATATGGAGCATAGATAAGTGTTGAAATATTTCTTTCATGTATGCAGTAATTTAACTTTTCTGATGTAGTAGTTGGAAGATATTGTGTTATGTAACCTTATGAGAATAAAAAATATGATGTGCTTTATGGACTTAAATTTAAAAATCTGAAAGATAAATTGGTAAATTTAGTTGCGACAGTGTGCCGAATTGGTGGATGCTTTACGTAGTTACAGGACTGCCGATAATCGAATACTGTGTGAAAGTTTCATCCGTGCACCATCTCGCCGGTATGTTTTATCATAATTATGAAATTCTATAAATTCTAATCATTTGATTTGCTTTGGGTTGAAATTATTTTCAGCACGGATCCAAAGTATTTTGATGTTGTCACGCATCCGATTGATTTAACAAGAATTCAGCAGAAAATTAAAACCGAAGAATACAGTTCTGTGGAAGATCTTTCTGCAGATGTCCGTCTCTTGGTCAATAATAATAAAACTTATTACAAGGTTATTTTTTTCCATGAATTTCAGATTTATTCTGAAATTTAAAATAGACATTTTAACCTTTTCTATAGACTTTCATTCTTTCCACGTTTTATGAATCAAATAGAAAAGTTCGGCAAATTAGTATCATGAACTGTTTTTTGAATTTGTGTTTGATAACATAATCACACAATGCTAAGGTTGACTTAGCATTTTCAACTCATGTGTAAGTTCATGATTTAGGAAGGCAGTCAAGAGTACAAAGATGCTTGTGAATTATGGGAATTATTTGAGTCACACAGGAAAGAAATGCTTGGGAATGCTTCTGTTGCAAAAATGGAAGAACAGTTCGTTTTTTTTGCGTTTCTCAATTATTATTACTTATTATATTGTAGAAATATTCTTAATGCATAGCTACTAAAATAAAGGATGACATAGTTTTGAGTTGGAAATCTCAGTATATATTTTGTTCTTTATAGTTTTTAATATGTCAAACTGTTTTGTTGGAGCATACTAATAGTAAGGATTACAATATTTTGCTTTCTAGTGGTTTGAAAATTTTCGAAGCAAATATAATTATTGCAGCCAAAAGAATAAAACAGTTGAGGCAAAACGGGACGTGGTGTCAGTTGATTTACTGGAAGAAATTATTGTTTGTACTTTGGAGCTCACGGATGAAACTGGTCGATTGCTTAGTCCACCCTTCCGTGTTTTACTATCTCAAGAAGTTTGTTTTCGCATAAATTTGTATTTCCTTTTGCTTCTTAAATTGAGTCATGATTGTCACTAGCTAGCGTGCGTATATTCTATGATTTTACAGTCATCACTCTTGCAAATTTAAAAACATTCTGTCGTTGCACACTGCTATTATTTCTAGCAGTCTGTATTCCAAGTTTTAAAGCCAAATTAATTCAAGGAATTCCCTACTTATTATGATCGAATCAAAAAACCTATTGATCTCAAACAAATAACGATAAAAATTCGTTCTGGTGAATACCGCACTTGGCAACAATTTGATGCGGATTTTCGATTAATGTGTAAAAATGCAAAAGCCTTCAACGAATTGGGTTCAGTGATTAGTAAGGTTTGTGCTATATGTAATATCTTCAATAAAATCTGAAATTCATTTCATTTTGTATTCATTGTTAGCATCAACTTTCGTTTATATTAATTGATAGTATCAACTGTTTTATAAAATTCCAAATCACTGCGCAATGTTTTAAGTTAAACAGTAGCAGGTTCCATATTAAAGGTGATATGTCAGGCAGCAGTAGAATTGTCTCTTTGTATTCTTTAAAATGGTAATGGCATCCTTCTAGGCACTGCAATTTAAGGAATTCTCAAAAATAGAAATTTAAACCATATGATATGACCTCAAGGTTTTTATCTGTGAAGCTTTTATTGTAGGATGCTTCTATGTTGTTGAAAAATTATATGAAACGTAAGGCAGAATTATGTAATTCCAAACACAAACCGCTGACAATTAAAAGGTTAGTTTTTCGGATTTTTTTTTTTTAATTTTAAGATATAGGTTTTCTATGTACACACCATATCCAAAAAAAGCGGAAGTCAAGGAGAAATCAATTTCAGGATCAGTGCAAATAAACAAGTTTTGGATGAACTTTTAGCCCAAAACGCTACAGTTAATTCGAGTGAAGAATATTCAGAAGATTCCGAAGAAGACGAAGATTCGGAACACAGCAGTGAACCAAAATGGATATTGTATTGGACAATTCGTAATGAACCCAATCCAGTTGATCCGGAAACTAATCTGGCAGATCCATTTTTGGAATTACCCAGCAAAAGGTCAGTCCCAAAGTGAAGTTCTGTAGGTGTATACACGATTTTCTCAATTTCAAATTTTCTCTATGGTGAAAAATTTTCAAAAAATGGAGTTCAGAAAGATATACTTAAAAATAGGAGAAGTGACTACTCATTTCTTTCGATTTGTAACCCTGTTTCTAGCTTTATTTGCTGCCTGTACGTTTAACTTCTACGTTTCACTCTAACAATTTTGAGATACATGTGGTTAACTTATTAACTTCCCGTATTTCTAGCTGGTATCCAGATTATTTTGACGAAATTTCGGACCCAATGTCTCTTTTTATGATAAACAAAAAGCTAAAACGTGATGAGTATCATACACTGGAAGAACTTCTGAAGGATATTGTGTTGGTTTTTGAAAATGCCAAAACCTACAATGTTGAAGGTTCAGATATTTATGAAGCAGCAGCAAAATTGGAAAGGTTGGCAAGATCAAAGACTCGAGCGTTACTAAAAGTAAGATTTTTTTATTATATCATCAGTGATCTGTTTGGAACATACAGTTTGGACGACCTATATTGCTCTTTATAAAGTTCTGTTGCTACCAATAGCTACGCAAGCTCTGGATTCAGGTTCAAAGGCAGAATCATTAATATTCCACTATCGAAATCAGTTTAAGGAATTTTTTTTTTTTCAGACTATTAAAGTAAATGAAGTTGAAGAAAGGATATCGGATAAAAGTGCACAATCGCCGACTGTCACACGATCTGTTTGGAAAAAGCTGCGGAAAATAGAGGGATCAACATCTATGCAAGTTGCATGTTCAGGCCCAGAGCCGGAATCATTTGCTATTTCAGCATCGAACGTTGAGGGCTCTGAGTTTAAAAGACGGGGAAGTAGCCGAGGATGGAGTAATGAAATGCAAGCAGTTTTTCGAAAGAAACTGACAATTTTGTGGAACACTGTTTACGATCATATGGTAATTTTCTACGTAATTTTTCATAGACAGTCATTTTATAATTATTGAATTTATACACTAGCTAATTTGGGATAACTAAAACAGATTGATAATAGATAAAACAACCAAGCCCGTGAATCTGCTGAGTTTATTGTTATCTCATCACATCGACCATGCTAAAAAATTTTTAGAAAAATCAGTACGCGAAAAAGTTTTTTTTTTTTCAGGATGGTAAACGGCGTATTGCTACTGCTTTTATGTTTCTACCATCGAGAAAAGATTATCCAGAATATTACAGTTATATTGAAAAACCGATTGACTTAACTACGATCAAGCATAAAATTGAAACTGACCAGGCAGGATTATTTTTTTTCAACTTTTCTTTTCTCTTGTTCTTGAAATTCCTTATTTGATTTTGTGATGCACTGTGGACATTGTGCTCCATTTATGCATGAGACATCGATGTGCGTTACTCCCTAAATGCGATATGTAGAAAATGTGAAAGTACATTGTAAAAGCGTTTTAGAGACTACTGATTGTAAGATTGAATAATACAAAAGATAAACATAATTATGGAGGGAATATAGGCATACAAACAGTACATGTTTGGTTTGAATTCCTTACAGATATAATTTTGCATTCCATACTTGATGATTTGTTTTAATTCCATTGCATCTTAGTTAAGTTGTATGATTTTTTAGTTTTTGCCATTTTTTTGTGAGAATTGTTCGATGAAATATGACTTTTGGAATAATGCAGAAATATCTTTGATTAAACTTAAAAACATTTGTTTCAGTACACTTCAATAAGTGATTTCATGAAAGATATGGATTTGCTTGTTCATAATGCTTGGGATTTCAATGAACCTGGTTCGCAAATTTATCGCGATGCAACAACCCTACAGTCTGTTGTGCGCAATGCGCTTAGTGGGATTCCAGGCTTGCCAGTGTCCAACTTCAAGCACTGTAAAAGCAAAGTTGGGTAGGTGGAATATGCGTTTATCAAAACAGGTTTAATATGTGTACTACTTAATTCTTGAAGTGTCAAAAATATTTGTATCTCTTAAATCCTTTGTTGCTAGTAAAAATAAGGATTTCGAATTGTTAATTGAAAAAGCTAGTGATAATTACTTTCAGATTGTTGAAGTCGAATTTACCATCGAAGAGGCATAAACAACATGGCAGTGGTGGTGAAAGTAGCAAATGTAACGATATTGATTTGGAGGGTGACCTTTCTCGGTAAAAATTGCTTTATCTTTGCAATTTCAGTAGCTAGAGCGGAGCAATAAAGAGGAGAAGTAATTGTTATTAAGGGAATTTCAGGAGTCACTGTAATGAAACAATTATTATTTTGTGCATGAGAAAGAGTATACTATTTGTAACCTGTCATTTATTTCTCTATATCATTTAATTTTAGTGGCTCAAATTTGTCGGTATCAGAGGCCTTTCTTCCACATATGCGTCTTTCGGACAACCTTCGTCCTGCTTCACCTTCTTGTAGTGCTATATTTACGGACAGGGCGCCTGCAGTATCACCTATGAATTTTACTAAAACGGGCCGTGGTACTCCGCGAAGAATGCTTGGACCCACTTCTGAATTGGAGTTTGATAAGATCAAATTGTACGAATTGTACAATCTCATAAGGAATTACAAAGATGAACGCGGGCGTGAACTGTCACTTCCATTTTTACAGTTGCCATCGAAATTTGTAAGTTTTAACTTTCGAAATCTAGTAAATACTTAGTCTAGATTCAACAAAATCAGGTTTTAGGTTTGAGCATAGTAATTAGCAAATAAGAGAAGCGGTTTCTTTTTTTTTTTCAGGATTATCCGGATTATTATGATGTAATCCGTAGACCAATTGATCTTACAAAAATCCGGAATCGAATCACATCAAATTACTACGATTCAACCGATGCTTTAATTAGTGATTTCAATTTAATGTTCGATAACGCTTGCCGTTACAATGAACCGGAGAGTATGATTTATAAGGTTTGTGTTTTTTCCTCAGAAATAGTCTCCAAGATATAATGGAATTGTCAGGCAAGTTAGGAAAAATACAGTGCCTATATAGATTGAATATTTAGTCAGCACTTTTCTAAATAGACACTATTATATTACGAGTCCGAGAAACTGTTACACAACTTCGTTCGGTTGTACCAACATTGACAAGTAAATTAAATAACATCAAGAATGATAGGTTGTTTTTTTTTTTTTTTTTCGATCAGTGTAAATCTAAGTAATAGGTCACTTCATTTCAAAATCAAAAATTTTATTCACTTATACATTCAAATTATAGGATGCACTTTCACTGCAAAAATTAATTCTGTTGAAAAGGCGCGATTTATGCAAAAATACCGCATCAGCAATAAATGTACAGTCGGAAGTTCAAGCTCTTCTTGCCTCAATTCTTATTTCAGTTAATAATCATCAGGTAATTTTAAGTGAGCTTTTTTGATTTTACGGATTTGTGAGAAAATTGCAAGTTAACTGCGAACACTATTTTATAGTGACACAGTGGCTCATTCAGTCATATATTTCGTTGTCCAACGTACTGAATTGCTAATGTTGTTACCGTGGTGCATATGTGCTGAATATTTGTAACTATCCGCATTCAAGAGCACCTTTTAATTTTTATATTTAACTTTTTTTAAAGAGAATGTTGTAGGACTCTGATGGCCGGTGCTTCTCGGATTCGTTGGCTGATTTACCGGGGATGTTACGAAGAAAAGGAATAGATTCAGTGAATATTCCATTCTCCATTGATGAAATGAAAAGAAGTGTAGATAAGGTATTTTTTTTTTGCATATGTAAGCCTGCAAATTTGAATATTTCGTGTCGTTAAAATTTTAAAGGGTTATTCGAAATTATGGTGATAGGTTAGGATATGATATAGCACTGCTGATATGGAGTCTACATCAGTCACTTTGTCATTACAGTATCGACTTCAAAATATTGTTTCATGAAGTAGTTTATATCTGAACTGGTTTAGCAGTCTATATTTTAATCGTACACGGAAGCTATTTAGACAGCCCCATCCTACACAAAAAGGCTACAATGACTGCATCTAGCACTAAATTTATTATTACTTTTTTCTTCACTAAAAAAGTTAATAAGTTGATTAAAAAATTAATAAGCAACGTGATTGTTTACAAAAATCTGTAGTACACTTAATTTTGGATCGAAAAAATTTCCAGGGACTTTCAGAAATCAAATTTTATAAAAGTAAAGTTTTGCAGGGTCGTTATCGTCGATTAGATAAGTTTCAAGACGACCTCTTTTTTTTATTCAATGCAGCAATGGATCATGCTCATTCCGATTCTCAAGTAAGTTAGAAGAATATAATATGGAGTTAAAAATCTATTCAATCTTTTCGACAGCATGCACATTCTTTGATGTTGCTGAGCTGCTTCACGCCAAATACTGTATGCGTAGTCAGACGTCTTGACACTATATTTTATGTTCATCTGAAAACAAAAAAAAAAAAATTTTATTTTAAAAAACCGGCAAAAGTATTTGCAGTTATGCAGTTTCTTTTTTATACTGGTCTGATTACTTCATATTATGGAATAAGTTCTAGTCGAAGAGCGATATCTAATGAATTTCATCCTTAATGAGTTGGTAGATGCTTTGATTGTCCTTCATGGAATCGGATCTGTTATTGTTTATTCTTCTTAGGCCGTACTGTTAATCTTATTTGATGTTTTCTTATTTCTTTTAAGCTAATTGATGTCTCGAGCTTTCAGGTTTTCGAAGATACAGTTGAACTTTGGATGTATTATTTGAAAACGCGTGATGATTTGACACGCACTACGTTACTCTCTCCTGCCCGTTGGTATACTGAGAAGATGCTCCTTACGCATGTAGATAATATTCGGAAACGTAAATTAATGGAAGAAGCGAAAGATGATGAGGAAAATAAAAAATCTGAGACATTGGGACCAAAAGCGGTTAGTTTTTATTATTATTTTGAGTACGATGAAGAGTTATAAATTAACCACTCTCGATTTCAAGCAAAGTTTAGCTAGAAATGGAACGGTAAAAATTTTTTCAGGTTCTTAAAGAGTTAGAAGTTTGAATTTTTCTTTTTTTGTAAGACTTGAAATTTCGGAATTTTTGGTCAAATAAAACAGGATAGTGACATCTTAAATTTATAGACATATTTGTTCCGAATACATCTATGATTTTCAGTAGATTCTCTCGTAATCATCTTCTGGTGCTTATCAATAAAATTATTGTAAGTAGTAAGTGATGAGTAATTAGAGTAACGGGATCATTGATCTTTCCAATTCATTGGATTAACAATTTGGTTTGTATTCGCGTTTTTCTCGAGAAAATAATGGAGGAAAAAACGCTGTAACGAAACCGCTTGACATAATGAACCAGTATTTCATTGGAGTTTAGAATATTTAAATCAGAAGGCAACCGAGTAATCAGTAGGAAGGATAAAAATTGATGTTAGCTTAATAATGTTCGAAAAATTAAACGGGATGGAAGTAGAGTTATTAGTTGTTCAGCACTGACGAACTGATTCTTCAGGATGGTGATATTGACCTAGGTTCAACTGGACAAGGTGGAATCATTTATCGGGTAAATGATTATGCATATGTAGCACCAAGTGAAGAAACAGTGTCGCAGCGGCATATTATGAGGATTGAACGATTATATCGTGATAGCGACGGACAAACATTTGCACGTGGCACGTGGTGCTATCGGCCGGAAGAGACCTTTCATTTAGCTACTCGAAAATTTTGTGAAAATGTTTGCTTCTTTCAATTTACGATTAGAGATATTAACTCTTTAAGTCTAATTTAATTAAGTTTATATTTTTTTTTGCTTTCACACTAATTTTTTAAGCGCTGTATTGACAGTTTTTAGAAAAATGTATTGACAGTTTCTTTTTTTAGGAAGTATTTCTTACGTCCTACTATGATACCGTGACGGTGGATCGCCTCATAGGAAAATGTCATGTTATGCCAGTTCGACAGTTTATGAGGCAAAAACCAAAAGTATTCACGCTGTGAACATTTTAAACAAAGTTAACCTACTGTTGATGGTTTTGGGGCAGAATTTTTTTTGTTTAGAATTAGCAAATCCGAATAGGAGATCATATTTTCTATTATTTCATAATTACTCGACAATAATTACACTTCCATGTTCTGAGCAGGGCGAATAAGTAGTTTTACATATCTGGTTTAAACTGAATGTCTGATAACATACCAGAAATGAATATTAGCATTCTTTATTCGATCTTTGAATCCTTTTTATGGATATATAGTATATGTCTAGATATAGTGTAGATATATAGTGTATATCTAGATCATACAAGCATCATATTAGTAATTTTTTTTTATTACTCGGCAATGTGTTACTAATTTAGGGCTTTGAAGATAGCGATATATATGTTTGTGAATGTCGTTATATGGGTCGACAGCTGCATTTTAAGAAATTGAAAGTAATATATTACTTTATAATATACTGTTTATGTATATTGATTTGTTGATTTTTTTTTTTAATGCATTGTATGTATAGCATAGATTCATTTCTTCATATTGAATATATACTGATTTTTTTTTTTTTTTTAATTCCATCATCATAATTAAAAACAGGTAACATATTTTTATATGTCATTTGTTTCAGCATTGGCCATACCGTCCGGAAGACGAGAAAGTGGAATATGTGAAACGCGAGAAACCTTTAACAGTGTTGAAACGCGTCACATCAGTGTTTGCAAGCAGAAAAACATTTCAAACTCATCCGGGCGCGTTGATTGGCGTAAACGACGACGTAATTTTTCAAATTTCACATAACTATAAACAAATTCCTTGTCTATACCAGATGTAATTTTGTTGTGTCATTGTAAGAGTGAAGGTATTTACAAAATAGCTTTGAAATAAAGCATTACGTCTTCTGGAAATCGGAATTTTTATGTTTAGATGGTTCTGTTGGTCAGTTATCCCGCGATTGTCCCATATATTATTTTATGATCAACGAAAATGTGTATCACCTTATAAATTTCCGTCTTCTTTAGGAATCCGTTGATTCAACTTCATCTTTGGAAGACGATCGTTTGAAAAAATTACCAGCAGTATTGGAAAAGCAAAGAGTGGAAGTTATATGTAGTGGTAAGAATTTTTGATAGTTTGTGGTTTTTATTAAGTTAGTGTTTTGAAATATAGTAGAAGTATGAATTCCAAGTCAAAGAATTAATGATAAAAAAAAACTATAACAGAAAAAACAGGTAGCTTAAAATTGTCATATATATCCGAAAATGTTTTATGCTTCGAGAATCTGACGGGCTTAGTTACATTTCTGAAAATATGAAATCTAAGAAGGGGTCAAAAGCTTCTGTACATAGTTTCATGTATGGAATTTTGTAAGGAAGCAATATATATACAGATTTGTCTTTAATATGAGGATAAACTCATACCAAAAAAAGAATTCCTAGTTTTTCCATTTATTATTCTATGATGTTGCTTCATTTCACACCACCCTTCATCACCAAACTAGTTTTTTGTTTTACAGTTTCAATTTTTTTTGGAATTGAATTCCGTAGGTAATTTAATCTTCATTAATGCAATGAATGAGACGGAAATACATGTTTGGATAGTGGAACTTTGTAATTTAAGACATATGTCGGAAATTGCTTGCTTCCTATTAATGGTCCTGCAGGAAATATCCTCATTCTGCTCATCTTTTGTTCGTCTTTTGAGCTTGACAGAGCATAATAATTTTCGGTAAGGAAGTGATTTTATTCTTCTTACTATTGCATCTTTTTCACGTCTGATTTCAGACGCGCCAGAAGGTATCAATAAATCGATGGTCTTTTATGAACAAATGCAGTATAACGATCGTTGGTATCAGCTAGGAGATTTCGTTTACGTATATAATCCACTGAAAAATCGAAATGCAATATTACGAGTTGATAAACTGTGGAGAACAGTTGAGTAAGTGATTATTTTCTATCGTTAAATTGAATATAACTTGTTTGATTGCTAAAGAGTTTTTTGGTTTTCAGATTTATTTTTGTCATATATAAATTTTTTTAGGGGTGATGGGTTTTTCTCTGGGCCGTATTTCGCACGTCCTCGTGAAATTAAGCACGAACCAGCACGGATGTTTTATAAGCAAGAAGTTTTTGCCGTTGATCAGCCGGATATTACTATCCCATTGGAAAATGTTCAAGGATTTTGCACAGTCATGACAGTCAAAGAATACACCAAAGGTTGCAGTGCATTTAAATCCTTAATTGAATGAGTGGATAAATACATGTCACATTCGTATTAGATATTAATTATTTACTATTCAGCGAACTGGGGTTTTCGAAATAGTTAGAACAGTTAGTCAAATTTCAGTTAGTAAAATTTTTAATTCTAACTCTAAAATCAAGCGGAGACAAACTTAAATTCTCGAAAAATGGAGGGATCTTCCGTCCTCTCTAGTTCCCACTTAAAATCATTTCATATATCTCACGTATTTTTTAGGGCGACCAACTGAAATTGATGAATCTGATATATACGTTGTGGAAAGCAAAGTACGAGGTTACGAAGATGGTGGGAAACGGTGCAGTTTAACAGGTTATAAACCGTCGCATTATATGTCGAGAAATGTTTCGCAAAACGATGCAAATGACTGTACGGTATTACCAATAAATGAGCAAAAGACAAAAGATGATGTGGACCAATTATTATCGAGCGAAGTAACGAAGACAGAAGATTTCCACTCGAATGTTCCATCTACTTCAAAAGGTATTGTCGAACAGGCTGGTACAGTGACGAAACTAGGAACTATATCGACATCGTTTTCGAGTATCTCGGTAGATGATGATAGCAGTAGTGGGTCGAATCAAGTTGCAGGCACCATACGTAACTTACCTACTATCGATCAAGAGGAACCAATGAATGATGCGTATGCCAAGAAGCTGAAACACTCCCTGAAGGTAGATTATTCAATTTTACATATGAATTCTCGCGTTCTTCGCATGTTTATTTATTCTTCAACATTCTTTCGGTTTTTTCCTGAAATAGTTGAATGAAGACGGAATGTATAAACAAATTTCTTGAACGGTGAGTTCCGTTTTACGCGTTATTCATGCATGTATGATATATCCGGATGGTTTTGGGAGCAATTACGGCAAGAATTAGTTTACATAACAAACCTTCCCGATTTCCCAGTATAATTTCGGCGTTATTTCAAGTTAATGGCAGCATTCGTTTCTGAAAGTTCTGGTAAATTGGCATCCTGTACCATGCCTTCATTTCGTTCATCTTTTCTACAGGTATACTACTGTATATCCTCTGCAAGTATAGCTTCATTGAGATCTTTTTGTCAGTGTACTGCATAGGTAATTCTACAGGAAGTGGCACAGCAAGATTATACAGGTTGCCTTGATAAGAAGCAAGCCACACCACTCCCAGGATTCCGTAAAGATTGGCAACTGTTTGAATTGTTTTGTTCGAGTAGGGGCGCGTGCTCATTGCGGATAATTCAGCGGAAATTGAAAATGGGAGAAATTTTAAACGAAGAGTATGTGTGTGTACACATGTGTCTCTTTGTGTGATGTGGGAAAATGGTGAAAGGGGGAGAAGGGTTAATGAATGTTGGGCAAATTAGTACCCCTGACTATGCACCTATATACCCACTATTGGCCGAATCGATATTGTTCTTGGAGTAGAGCACTTGGAGATGGTGATAAAGTTGCGTGTGGTACTTACAGGAAGACCTGAGACGTTTGATATGAATTAAATTATCATCAATGTTATCAGCACTTGGTGCTAAAATCATAGATGAAGTGAAAGGCATCGAAATCTTAGAACACAACACGGCAAATTTTCGAAACATTTCTGTTAGGTGTGTGAGGAGGAGGGAAGGAGTGAATGTTGTTGACGATCGTGTGATCGACAAGTGAAGAAATTTTGTCATATGGAGAGAGAGAGAGGTAGGAAGGGATGTGACTGACGAGACATAATGTAAGTGAAGAAGTAGATGAGTAAGGAATCAAAATTAATTTCCCTCTGTCAGGAAAGATCTCTGTGGGTCTCTCTCCTTCACAGAGAGCAGAAAGGCACAGGATACGTTGTTAACAATGCAACAACTATCGATGTCCCGGCACATCGCACCGCATCGCACCGCATACACACACACACACACATATATGCAAGAGGCCTTCCTTGTGGTGTTGGGAATGTGTTGTGTTCATAGCATTTGTGTATTGCCCTGAGGACGAGCCTATCCTTTGTTTGGTGGGAAGTACTCAGGCTTGTGTGTCTGTGTATGGGAACACACAGACACACACACACACACACCGCATGGGTGTTGTTGATGGTAACGCATAGCCGAACCGACCGATGATGTGCGACCAAAGGTGTTGGCCGTTTAAGATAACTTGTTAGGTGCATATCTAAGAGACCACTGCTACCATTGCTACCATGCTGTTACCATCGCTACCGCCACAACCGCCACCACCACTGCCTACTACCATCAGCTGAAGCGATATCTGGATGAACTGCAGCAGAGTCACCTTCATCTCCAAGCTTACCCGTTCCCTTCCCCCCCGCCACACTCTTTACCATCCCCCCTGTCTTCCTCCCGCTACTGCAACTATCACTGACAAGAGTAGAAGGAGCAGCAACCTTTTCTATGTGACACGGCGGCACTTTATAATCAGCCAGCTGGGTAGTAAGCAGTGGCAACAACAACAACAATAATAGTAATAGCAGCATTGGTAACTCTCTCAGCTGATCACCAGCCTTCGGCACTATGACTTGTAACATGCAACCGGTGGTACCTAACATCATCGTTATTTTTGTGATCATAGTCGTCATCGTCTCTGTCGCCGGTTCAACTAAATACGGTGGCTGATGTAACTATAGCTATCTTGTGCCACATTTTACTATAAGTTCTCTGTGCGCATATATATGTTTTTTGTGTATGTCTATTGTTGTCCTTTCTTTTTGTGACATTGGCACTGTTGTTTACGTATGGGATAGAACACCTTTGGTTTCTTTTTTTGTTTTGTTTTGTTCTGATTATGCTTAATATAGCAGCAAAAGTACTAGTAGTTGTAGGAGTACTGACCTCAATACACTTAAAATGGAAGATATAATAATATTGTGTATTAATGTGTTTAGTTTGGTATGGATGTATCAGTAATCGTAAAATATGTATATGTCATCTCGTGCTGTTGTGCATTACAAAATTACTGCCGGAAATACAACTGTGGGTGGGATGAAGTGTTTGATAATGGTAGTATGATACATAATAAAGTGTATCGTAGTTGATGAAGCGTAGTGCACATATGATGATAGCAAGGTTTATTGGTTATAAGTAATAATTAACCGATGAGATTACATGTCACACAGTGCTTGAGGGTAGTCTGTAATGGGTTGTGATAGTTAAGAGAATGTGAGAAGTTTGAATGAAATATACCATCGATTGAATATATATATATATATATATATGATGATTCACTGGGACTAAGCTAAAGGGCAAGTTCATGCCTTTTTTCTTATCTTATCTTTGATATTATTGAATCTCTTAGAGACTTTCGTTCTCACGTCGTCATAAATTCACTCATCTTGGCTAGATGACGATTAGTTTGGATTTAATATCATTAAGTAGGGATATGTTCTCATGCGTTTTAGAGTATATATTGTTTTAAGAATGAGGAGTTTTGATGCAAAGTCTTTTCAGACTTACAACTTATCATCGGAAGTCCTGGAACCGGAAATTTATTATTTCAAAACTCCAATCACTATGGAAAAGGTTTGTTGGTTTTTAAGGATTCACTTTGTTTAAATTGGAGGAAAAAATACTTCCTTTGGAAGAAATTTTATTTGCATATCATTCATCGTAGATTGTTGTATCATTTCCCTATCATAAAGTTTCGTTTTAAGTAAGTTTTGGAAATTGTTTACTTGCACAAATTTAATTTATATCAATTTATATTGTTTTTAGGAAAATGTAATATTCATATCATGCATTTCTGTTTCTTTAGATAAACGGTTCTAGATAAAAGTGGTATGAACAAAGTAAGAAATATGTAAAACTGATATAAATAAAGTAAGGGAGAGTATTGTATCAGCGATTGTGTTGAGTAAAAGTGAATGTTGGTATTAACTCTGAAATTTGTAACCAGAGATTTTTCAACGGTTTTCATTAGTAAATATTATAAATATTATTTAAAAGTACGAAGTACCCACGTCATAAAATTCCCTCATCTTGTAAATTGAGTTTATGACAAGACACTGATGATAGATGTAATAGCATCATTTATCGTCAGTCAGTGCAGCACTTTGTTTAGTTTATTAAATTTTCTTTTGTAAGCTATTATAAAATTTCAACCTTGTCTCTGTCCCATCATCATTTGTTACTGCAGTGATTATACCAAGACAACAAATAGATAGTAATCAGTGGTCATCGGACCTCATTAGTAACAGACGATTCGTCTTCAAATTTCTCGTACTAGCAATCTCTCACTTTTCTCAGTCTGTTGTCTTTCTTTCCTTATCATCCTGCCCATTCTAACATTAGCACTATTCGTGTCTGCTACCTCTCTACGAGTAATTAGTTTCTTCCACCTTTCAACAAATATAATAAGCAAAGTGCTGCCGTGTGAATATGAGCTAGTGGTAAAGGAAAAAAAGTTTTCTTTTAAATGCATTGAAAAATTCCTACTCTAATTAATTCTTTTAAACTAATAGTTTTTTCGTAATTTAACCTTAAGATCTACTTTCATTTAAAGTGTGAAATTGCTGTGGAAATGTGTTACGAGAGAGAGATAAGAACAAAATTTATTTCTATAAGGTTACAACTGAGTTTTTCTATAATAAGGGCGAGATGATTAATTGACTGGAATATTATAATTTTTTTTTCTGGTCCGGTTGATGAATATAATCTGAGAGCTGAGAAAGTGAAAAGCAGAGTAGAAAAGTATCACAGCTGTAGTTAACGATTAAAACCATGAGAGATATATGAGAAGGAAAAAGTAATTGCTTGATTTCTCGGAAATTTCAGTGCTGTAATGTCGGTTTAATAATAGTTATGAAATCATATATGAATGAGTTGTGTCGGTATATAATCATATAAATGAGATTAATGGGATAGTGACCATTCAGTTTAATAGAATTGCAAGCTTTTATTCGAGCTCAAGGGAATTTTTTTATCATTTGAAGCTCTTCTTAGATGAACATAAGCACTACAGAGGTTTAATAGATAAAAGATAGATATGTTGATTTATTATTCAAAGGGAAAAACGATTTAAGATTCCTTATATAAATTTAAACCATCGGTTAGTGGTTTACTTATGATCTAAAAAAGAAAATGGAAATCCACGGTATTATTATAAACCATTTAAATAACATTTATATTTAAAAAAAAGATTTGAATTTATGTATTTTAGTTTCTGTTTTCGTTTTATAGGAGATGTCACCTTTATTAATGCATGCTGCAAATTCTTCGGTGCCAATGGAGCCGTTGGATGATATGGATGAAACAGCTTCGGAATCAAATGACGGCACAGAACATACATCTGCAACTACTGCTACTCCTGGGAAGGTATTTAAATATAATTCCTTTACGAGTTTGATATTTTCCATGGGTCTAGTAGTTCGAATTTTTCTCAACAATGAGTAAATTAGACTCTTTTTTCTAGAAAGAGTGACGTTAGCTGACAAGACGATAATTTCAGGAATTGGTGACGTGGTTAGCAGCACAGCCAAAACTTAATGCGCGATCCAAAAGTGGTTATATCTTGTTTTCGGCTGAAGTCCGAAAAAAGGTGATGCAAGAAAATCCGGATGCTGGTTTTGGTGAAGTTAGCAAAATTGTAGGCATTGAGGTAGTAATGTACTTTCATTACCGACTATAATTCACATAAATCGAAGGAAATTTGTGATTTAGTGATGTTTATTTCTTTTATTTATAGTGGAAGAAACTGTCAGAAGAACAGAAAAAACAGTATGAAATCAGAGCAGAATATATTGCAAATGAAAGGGCGAAGCAAGAAGCCCGTGAGCCTCCTCATATGCGAATTTTGGTGAGTATTTTCTAATTACACAAGAAGTGACGTGTTGTGCATATTGATATTTCTTCTAGTCTAGTGTTACATTAATCTTTCCGGATGAAATAAGCTAAGCTTTTTTCAAACTCGTAGGAAAAGTGTGTGCTGTGTTGTTGGAGCATGAAGTCTTATTTTAATAGGAGTGCATGAACACTAAGTTTAAGCCTGGGCAAATTCGAGTATATATGTGCAAGTGGCAGACGTGTGACTTCCAGTATGATAATCCAGAAGAATTATATGACCACGTAAAAACAATCCATACTTCCCAGATTGGTAAGTAGTTTACCATCGGATATTTTGCAATAATGAAAGATGGAATAAAAGTTTTCCTATAAAAGAAGCACTTATAAGAATAGAAAAGCTGTAGGTAGAAAAAAAAGAGACGATAGCTTCAGTTTTACGATTATGGGTTGTTGGTAGGTTATAAAATTTTTTTCGTTCATTCTGTATCTTTGATCGTTTTATAATTTTCTTTTTGTTTGTTTGTTTGCAGTTGTTGATGGTGAAAATCAATTTGTATGTCTATGGACATCATGTTTAAAATACAGGAAAGATGGAAAGTAAGTGATTTCCTTTAATCATTATGTTTTATGTTGTAATCTAGTTATTGACATTGTGATATTATGCTATCTCTTTCAGACCATTCCCTTCTCTTCCACGTCTTCATCGACATATTAAGGAGAAGCATTTGGCAACATCAGCGAAATCAATATATCCAAACCAGAGGAGCAAGTAATCCAATCCTGTAGTTATAAGTGATTTTTATCTTGATTTTGAAAAAAATGAAAAATCCTAAGTAATTTATAGGAATTATATACCGACTTATGTGCCTGGTTCGTCTGCCTCATCAGTTACTCCTGGAACGACAACATTCGTAGCCGTTCAGCAACCAGCAAACGGATCACAACAAGTTCATCAAACTTATACAATTCAACAAGCGCCATTAACCTATGTTACTCAGGTGAGAATTAAGAATTGTTTATTTTTTTTGCTATTTATAAATGTGATTTTTTGGTTGCTAGATTAAGTAATGGGTTTTTCTGTTTCTTATTCGGATAGTTTATTGTAGATGTTTATTACCACCAATTGATACAGCAACACACAAAACTCGCTATAGTAAAACTGCTATTGATCATTTATGAGTCTTGTCACCATTATCTTTATTAATAAGCATATTAAACTGTCATCAGTGTTTGTATTCTGAACTCGTTTAGTGTTATTTGTTTTTAGGCAGTAGTTTCAACTCATCAAATTGTTGCAAATGGATATGTGAATGGTACAGCAGTAGCTGTAGCACCAACGGCTTATTTGGCAGCTACACCAACCGTTGTTCATACTAGTTCCCCACATGGTTATCATCCATATCAACAAGTACGGCAGGTAAATTTTTGTAGTCTTTTTTTCGTATTTAAATGAAATTCAAACTTTGCGGTTAGGCTTACTGTTGGCACTGCATTTAGCAATGAATAAATTTCATTACTCTTCAGAATATCTTAGGTCGTATTAATTTCTTTTGAATAATTTGAGATAATAACATTTGACAAATATGGTATCTCCCTTGTTTTTCTGTTTACAAATGTTTCTTCCATGTTTTCTCTGTCTTTTAATGCAGAAACTCTTAGTTCCAATTAGCGGTGATGTGAATGAGGATGTTTAATTTCTAGGATGTTTAATTTCTTTTACTTCTGATACAAATTTTTCCATTATTAGCAGTTTCTCTGGTATAAACTTCGTGATGAGAAATTCTTTGCTGTTAGTGTTAGTAACCGCATTTGAAATTTTACTTCTTCATCCGTATTCTCTTGTGCCATACGGCACTATCCAAGGCTTCGTAATAATCTTCGTAAAAAAAATAACTTTTATTGTCCGCTTTGAAGGATAAAACGTTTTATCTCTTCGAAAGAGTACTCACTTATGATACCGCAATCAAAAATGATAAATGCAGTCAGGTGTTCTCTTTCATGATTAGTGAGAAGGCTGTAGTACTTTGCTCGCACTTTTCGTATTGCTTCCCCGCTTGTCGGCCTTTCTAACTCTAGTACGCCATCTTAATGGTTGCATCAGCAAAAACAGAACAGTAAAAGTGATATTTCTATATGTCCTTCATTTTATCACTCTTCTTTTTGTATTGATTAAACTTCAGTCTTAATATATGAAGGCACAAAATTCCTTTTCCTCTATCAATCATACATACAATCCCTACGATTTGTCCGTTATTTTTGATAGTCGTAAAAGGTCGGCATACAAGTTAAATTGGAGTTGCTAAAAAGATTGCACTCATAACAATACCGTAATATTTTCAATTTTTCCGTCATTGAAGGTTTATTTTCAAAAATACTCCTTGTATTGTCTTTAATATACAGTAATGTAGATGAACATTGCCATTAGGTGACAACGTCATCGACTGCCCAACCAATTGCTGTGGCAGCACAGAACTACACAGCAGTACCACTGCAAACAGTGAGCTATACGGCTCCATCTACCTCACAACAGCCATCTCCTGTTATAACCGATCCAGGTCGAACTATTGTTCAAGCTCCGAAACCAGCACAACCTATATTTGTTGCTCCGCCGAATACCGTACAAATCAAGAGAGTTATGCATTCCGAAGTTTACCTAAAGTACATTTTGGCCTTTTTGCTTTTCATATCTGTCAATGTTTCAAACTCGCGTGCTCAAAGCATCATATAAAGTTGTCGTTTGGTGTTTTCCCTTAGTTACTACGAGTCATTATTTCAGTTGTTTAGTTTTTTGACTGTTGGGATGGCTTGTAAATTGGTGAATAAATTATGAAATTACAAAAGTGTATTATTATAGTGTTGTGTTTCAGATACATAGAATCTTTATCAAGCAGCCAGCAGAAAACTGTAAGTAAATATAGCAGGAGTTTATTAGCTAACCAAAGGAATACAACGCCGTCACAGAAGATTTCGACAACGCAATGGCTGAAAGTAAGCTTTTATTGTTTTTCGATACTTGTAAATAAAGCTTTCTAATGAATATCTTTTGCTAAACTGATACTACCGGTATTTCAGGAAGCTAAAGACAATGGTGTCAGGGATGAAGAAGTGGTGAAAGCATTATGGCGGCTTCGGGATGCTTTATTAGAAAGTACGGTGAATATAGCACGAGAAATGGATTGTGCTGGTCCACTATAAGTTATTGTTTCTTTTTTTAACAAGATAATATGTTAAAATCATGGTAATTTACCCTTGATTTTCATTGTTACTTATGGTTCATCTTCGTTGGATATGTATATTTACATTTGTGTATGTCATGATGCTTTAAAATAATTGCATTACTTTATGGGTTGTTCTACTGTTTGGAGAATCTCATAGTGTGATGCTATCTTTATCACTGATGCATAACTGCGTCTGAGGATAGCCGTAATGGTGTGTTTATTATCCCGGGTTGCTCTGCCTTCAATTTTCAGGTCTATGTGTCATCCATTAGTTCATGAACTGCTAGTAAGGTTGGAGATTCGTAATGTCTTGCTTATTATTGTTCTGAATGGTTTTTATTAAATCACCTCGATTATGGACTCCAATTTTATTTTTCATCCCCGAACCCGGTTTTGGTTCGAGCTTCTTTTTTCTTTTTTGATTTGACTGTATTTTGGTAACGCAGCAAATGTATGTTTTCAGAGGCGTCTTGCATTTGAAGAAACTCTTTGGAGCTTCTTGATTTGGGTTGATTCTTTTCTTGAATGTAGATGTGTGATATTTATTTATTATGAAGTAACCAGGTAGGCAGTGAATTTGGTGCTATTTGGACAAACTTTTTTCATGCATTCTGAGAGATTTTACAAAGAAAATGTGTGCAATATTCTGTCGGTACTTATATTAGCTGAAATTTAAAATGAAAACAAAAAAGTCAACTTTATTGCTGTTTCTTTAATTTTGTATAGTGAATCATCTTTGGGAATAAAACTATGCCGACAGTTAACTAGCATTCTTGTGATAAGTAATTTTTTCAAGTTCCATTGCATGGCTTTCCCGTTGTTTCATCAAGTTTGATTTGTCTATCTTTTTTGTTTTTTGTGCATGGTCTCATTACTATTGTTCTTGTCTGTTTTTCTGAAAAAAAAAAGTAAACAATTTTCTTTATCGTTATTTATAGACAGATCATCATAAAGAGCAGGTGAGCAATACAACATATCTTTCCTTCTTGTGCTGCAAAGGTTACTAATCATTAATTTTTCAATTGTCTGAAGGATGCGTGATTTTATATTTTCAGTCAGCGAATATCAAAATGAATTTATTTTATTGCTCACTATCTACTAATTGATTTTTTTCTTTTTCTTGTGTACGTATAATTAATATACCAAGTAAAAGATGTCCGAAAAAAGACGTTTGAAGAAGCTAACAGCATTGTCGACTTTCACAGTAAATTCAGGTTAGCGTAACTAACACGTGAAGTTATAACACTTTTAGCTCATTGTTGAAGCATTGGTATGTCCCATAATTTTTGTATGCACGTCATCTTTTTATTAAAACGGAGCAATTAATAATATTAAGGAGTGGAATTATAGGTCGTTTGTTTCATTTCACTCTTTTAATACTGAATTATTGTGAATTATTTGCACTCGTATTGTTACCATATAAAATTATCAATTTTAGTATCTTTTCTACAATTGTGAAATCTAGTATTTGTCTAAAAGATAAACTCTGAGAATTGAAAACAAATTTATGTGCTTGAAAGCTCTTTGATCGTAACTCTGTTTTTAGCAAGGAAGAGAATCCGAACATAAAGAAATATATAGAAAACATATTTTACAAATTATTTTTTTTTTTTTATTCGAGAAAAATTTAAATTGAAATGTAATTCGAGAATACTGGTAATGGTTGCTCTCTTTCACAATTATTACACATAAAAATAGTATTAATTTAATTAACTAAAATTTCACATATTTTGCTTTATGTGTATTCTATTTTTTATATTGCCAAGTACTTATTGCAAAGTTTTGTTTAGTTGTAGTTTCTGTTTCCTCAACAATTTTTAATTGGTAATAAGCAAATTTTACAACAATGATCGTGTAAAAAATTAAAAAAAACGGAGTGGAATATTGGAGTGCTTCATTTTTCTTACTTTTATTTCCTTCAATGATTGTTTTGTTGGATTATTTTAGCAATCTGAAAGCATAAAATTCAAATTTTATAATTGAAATAATTTTAAGATGCATAATATAAATTTTTCAATTTCTTTTTTTTTAATATAATTCTTTAAGAGATCTAAGAGAAAAATATTTCACAATGATTGTTATAAGGAAAAAAAATGAGTGCCTTGGTCAGGTAAATGATATCATTTTATTGATAAAATGCTGATTATTTTGCAATTCTTTTATTTAAAAAATTACAAAAATAGATGATTTACAAATAATAAGAAAGTTCTGAAAACAATACATATATATATATATATTTCAATAATTTTATTACTAAATTTAAATTTTAGTTCTTGTCAGTATGATAGTTATTTAATATGGTCGCAAGGTAAGGTTTAATGCTAAAATATTTATTGTCTGGATGCATTTATTTGCTAGTTTATTTTATTTATTTATATTTATAAGAGAAGGCATGTATTCACGATTAATTCAGCAATAATAAAGAGAATAAGAAAAAGTTTTAAAAAAATAAGAAAAAGCATTTAGAAGTTTTGTCGATATTTTCTGTGCTATACAGATTACTTAGAAATTTTTCAAAAGTTTTTTCTTTGCAATTCCAATTAATATTAGCGGAAGTATTCTTCCTAAATTGGGTAAAGTTAAAAGATTAAATAGATCCGGCAATCCCGGTTATTTCTGAATTGCCTTCTTTAATCACGTCATATGCTCTTTTATAATTTGGCTATATCTTTCCTGCGTTTCTTTTTCTTTCTTCTAAACAAAACTTTTTCTCTCTCGAAGTCTATTTTTTGATATATTTTTTCAAATTCATTTTTTAAAAAACATTTCATTTTTGATTTGGATAAATTTCACCTTTTTTTCGTAATTTGCGTAAATGAGAGACATCAATTGCACTTAAATTGTATATTAAAAGTTAATATGACTGAAAAAAAAAAAAAACAATGTGAATGTTTACTGAATTTGAAAGAGTTACTAAATGCTATCTATAATCAAACAGATTTATTACATTAGAAAACTTCACCGCTAATATGATTGAATATAAAATAAAATAGTGATAATTCTACTGATTAACTGGATATATATGCAAAGATCAATTTCACCTCCTTTCTTTTATCCTCTCCTCTCCTTTCCTTTTTTTTTTCTTTAGCTTAATTTCTATCTGCTTAAATTTATACTTTTTACTGCAGTATCGTTTTGTGGAATTTCCTTTCTGCTTCTAATAATTCCAATGACATTTCGAATCTTTTGAATTGCAATGGATAGTTTCGTTGAAGCAATCCTTTACAGATCACCTGGATGAATGAAAACCTCGTTCGAGGGTTACAAAGGACTACCGAAAACCCGAAATTTTTGTTCGTTTTATAAGGAACCCTTTCCTCATGTAGTTTCATTTTAGACAAAATCTTTTTCTCATCAACGGATTTTGTTTTCTTTTCCTTTAATGGAGATAGATGTAAGGTTGGTAGCAAGCGGTGAACACAATTTTGATAAGCGTTTGACGTGCGTTTATCTACAGATACTTGATGACAATGCATGCGCTCTCTCCCAGCAACCAGTCATAAATAAACGTTTCAGCCAACTTTGAATGATTTGAAGAATGATTGAATTTATTGCCCAACAAATAATATTCTGTCTCAAACCCTTCAGATAACAAATTAGAAACGTTTAAAAACAAAAATGTTAAATAAAAAAATTGTAAATAAAGTTTCACTGAAGTTCACGAACTTCCAGAAATGATAATTTCTTCAGTAAATTATCCAAAAGTAGATCCATTAAAAGCCATTGAAGACGCTTCGATATCCACAAATTCGATGTAGCATCTGAAGAACAACTCTCCATTTTTTCCAAATTTTGCGAAAACAGCTAACCAACCAAAAAAGAGAAAAAATCAAGAAAGAAGTGACAAAATTTTTGACAAAATTAAGCAACTAATTTTCATTTTCAAAAGATGTAGATTAAAAAAATTGAAGTAAACCGATTCTTCGGAATTTTCAGCTCATCAGCAAGCAATTTGTACAATTTCTCTGCGTGCGAATTATTGACTTTAGGGCCAACACAACCAATCGATTTCAAGACACATACAGCACAGGGATCCTCACTTCCTCCGAACACCATCGCTTGTCCACCATTCACATGGATTGATACATACTAAAAATAATAAAAAAGTGTAAGCATGAAAATATAGTCACTATATAACCATCATTTTCATTATCCTCCATCCTCACCATCTAAAAAATCCATAATCCGGAAATGCAAATGAGGCAAATAATGAATACACGGACTTCTGTAACCCTTAGCATATTTTATTTTCCCATATTTGATAGAAATCTGATTTAACTAAAGATCGAACTATCGTGTGATTCATTCTGCTTTATTTAATCCTCACAATTTGAATATCACAACTGTACAATACCTTATAATTAACGTAGCATAAGCTAGTAGCAAGCATAACATGAATTCCAAGAGTGAAAGTAATAAGATAACTCTAGCACTACAGAAGTCAAAAGAAGAAATGTGAACACTGCTCAAGATGTACCGTTAGAAATTAAATTGAATACGTTTGAAAACTGAATCCTTTAATCTTTACATGATGTTCTTCTGGAAGAATTAGAAATAAGTTTAGGATCATACTAGTCTTCCCTTTATCTCTCTCTCCCTCTTTCTTTCTCTCTCTCTCTCGATCTTATAACAGTTTCAAGTTCCATTACAGAAAAAACAAAAATTTGACGGTCAAAAGCCCACTTACACTTTCCGGTTTTCCAAGTGCTTTTGCAACCACATTTGATGCCTTCTTTAGGAAAGCACTCGAAATGCTATTCTGCGGTATGTTTGTATCAATCGTAAAATATGGCATGTTTTCCGGAATCCACACTTTTTAAGTAGCTGGAACTTGTTTATGAATATATAACAACAGCAAACTCAGAAAACAAAAACGGAGGGGGAAACTTCTCGTAGAAGGAACTTTCTGGAATAACAAAAACAATCTAAATGCGACAGATAAAGGGAGAGATGAAACACGGTAAAGGAAGAAAAGAATTTCTATAGAGGGAGTACGGTAGGTAAGGGGGAGGGGAATTTCTTACAGAAGGAAGTTTCCAGAATAACAAAGAAATCTGCTAAGTAGGATCGATAAAAAGAGAGGGAGATTCTACACCGAAGGAACTTCTGAACACGATCAATAAAAAGGGAGGCACTCCTCACAGAAGGAATTTTCCGGAATAACGAAAACAATCTGAACACGAACAATAAAGAGGGAGGCACTCCTCACACAAGGAATTTTCCGGAATAACGAAAACAATCTGAACACGAACAATAAAGAGGGAGGCACTCCTCACAGAAGGAATTTTCCGGAATAACGAAAACAATCTGAACACGAACAATAAGGAGAGGATTCTTGACAGAAGGAACTTGCCGGAATGCAGTTAGCTCACCACCAACCAATCCTGGAACACTAATAACAAATTAGCAACACGTTGTGGAACAGAAAGGAGGATGAGAGAGAAGAGGGAATGAACTCACTGTGTTTTCTCTGGAGCAGTAAGAGAAAGGGAAAGACGAGAAAGAGAACGGAGAAATAGGAGGAATGTTACCGAAGTAACGGACAGAGAGTTGCTTGCTAAGGAGGAAGACAGACGGACAAGTCAATCGATGGTGTCTGTATGTCTGTCACAGATTGTGACAATTTGTGGAAAATTCGAGAATATTCAAAACAGAACCATTGGCATTGATGTAAGATTTGATGATTTGTATTTGTTTTCAAAGTGAAATTTCATTCCATCTTTATGGCTGTTTTCTGGAAATGTTTGGCTGTTTTCTGGAAATGTTTGGCTGTTTTCTGGAAATGTTTGAAATTTGCTGTGAGTTTTCGAAATTAGAATTTCTTTGTTTAAAGTTTTGTAAAATTGGAAAATTTAAGAAAAACTTCACAACAATAAATATGGGCGTGGTGGGAGGGAACGCTAAATGAAAATGGAAAAGAAGTTGAAGTTGCATTTATTAAAGGGAAAATCAATAACAATATGCAAGAGAGAGAGAGAGAGAGAGAGAGAGAGGGAGGGAGGGAGGGAGAGAGAAGAAGTTGAAACACGGTGTTAAGAAAGTACGAATGTACAATCACGAAAATATATTATTACGGAAATGCAAAATCCAGCTACGTCATTACGGACACGGAAAGCATCGAATGTGTGAAGCACCGAAGATAATGCTCATAAAATCTATCCGGCCGGATTGTTTGTGGGACATGGACTATCCTATTGATTTGACTGTTGAACGGTCAGAAATCGTTCATTGATTACAATCATTTATTGACGTCATCTAATTGATATCGACGATTATAAAACTAACTTAACAATTCGAATTGTTTGACTTTAATTTAATTAACTTGTTAGTAATTTTCTACTGATTCTTCAATATTTATGTGAGGATACATGAATTAACACACTTGCTAAAAGATTATTGTGTTGGTTTAACTAGATTAAATAATTCGAACTGATGACAAATGTTCTGGTCATTAACACTAAGTGTCAAAGTTAGCTGATACGGTAAATGTGAACGAACTTTTCCTGAAGTTATGTGAGCTGAGCGGTTACTGTGATGCTAACATGATGCATAGAAAGACAGACATTAGTGAATTTATGTTTTGGAATTTGCAGAAGACTGGTGAAGTTAGAATATGATATGCGTTATCGTGCAGTAAGTGTATGCTTTTTTAATCCCGCGGAATGAAAATTGAATTTTTTTTAATCCACGAAACAATGAAACTGTTCGAAATTCAAGAATTCTCGTAGAAATACTTATCCGCTATCTAAAGTAACTTTTTTTTCAATTATTTAGCTTGATGATATTACGTTCCACATTTTCGCTCATCAAATTTTGCCAAAAAATAATTCTCTCAATTCTGTTTTTTATTATACGGAAAAAAGTACACTGAAAATTTTGAATTTTCATATTAGAGATGACATTGACAGTAGATTTGATTGGTGAATGAATAGAAATTAATTCTTAGAAACCAATTTGTTCGTTTTTTCCTTTGCGAGTGAATGCATTCTTATCTAAAGTATTATCTAGAGTATCTTATCTTATCTATCAAGAATACAAAAAAGTATCTTTTCCCTACACTGTTAATACATTCTGAATGCAGTTGGATCAGGCTTAGGCTTAGTGTACCTCAACATTTCCTTTCTTTAGTATTTTTTTTTCTGCAGCTCTTAAAGAGATTCAATTTCATTTCAGTGTTACTCTCAGTACATAAATACAATGCAATTATTGAAAAATGGACAACATTTTGAATTAAAAAACAATAGTTTGAAGTAATGTACCAAAGTTGTAGTTGAAGAAATGAAGGATTGTGACCGAATTCTTCCGTTGATCTTCCCTCTGAGTGGTATATCGAATACTACAAGAAATGATGTTGGGACGAACTGCGACTTATTTTATCAGTGTCGGTGGTGAGATTAGGCTAGTGTCATGTGCTTCACAAAATACACAGAGGTTAAATTGATCCCAACACTAGATTTGTCACTAATACTGGTGATTTTCCCAGTTATCGGGATAATCGATTCATTGATTGTTGCTGCACTCTCGAACACAGCAATGCTTATGTGGTGCTGCATTCTCGAATACAGTAATGTTTATGTGGATGACAGCTGATAAAGTTTGATCATGAAGAACACACAAAAGTTGAACAACTGTTTCCTTTCTTATTCGAAAGGAGAAATATGATGTGGTTCGTGAAATTTGGGATTCAGCCTGAATGTAGGTTATGGTTTAGAGTGGAATTGAAGTTTCGTATGCTCAAGAATCTTTCTTGTTTGTTATTGTAGACGAATAGGTTGAATAATAGGTCTGTTGTGACGAATTTATTTGCGAACAACCACAATTATAGGTATTAATCTACAGCAACAATACTGATAATTTCGCCGAATTGTAGCTTAATGGTAAGGAAAACACTGATAAAACTGATTGAGACGAAGGATTTAAACCTTTATATGGTGGCACTGACTTACAATAAGAGCATGATTATTGAGTAAGGAGCTGTCAGATAATTTTTACTCTTATATTAGTAAGTTTTAATATAAGAATGACTATTAGCTTAGAAAATCTTTACAATATTCAACATTGCAAGCAAATTTGATCTGGAACAGACGAGTAGTTTTTAAAACATATTTAAACAAATCCTTTGTTGTTAGTTAAAAATGTCTAGAAAAGCATAAGCTCAACTATAATGGGAAGATGAGTTTGAAATAATGATTGCTTACATGGTAGATAATTTGAAACAATTTTACATTGCTAATATTTGATTAAAACGAATTTTAGTATTATGGATTAATACAATTTTATTTGATATATTTTATTTGGAGGTTCGCGAGATTACTTCGAGTTTCGTGACATGTGACGCTAGAAATATCGTTATTATGACGAAATGACCGTCAAGAATTCATTGTACAGTAAATTTCAAAATATCAGAAGAAATGAACGAAACAGAAACAATCGAAGCGATTGAACACATCCTCTGATAATTAGAAACCATAAGGAAGAATTTGATCTGGAAATGACTGCTGAGAGAAATCTCTGAAGATATACCAGAAAAAACAAGAGGATGAATCTTGGTCAGTCAACAAATTAAGAAGTTGTCTGGGAAAAATAGCGAGAACCGAGAAAGATATGGCTCGAACCGGAACGTGCAATCACGGATTGGAAAAGGATTCCGGTGCATGTAAATGAGAATCAGCAGTTTAGAAGACAAAAAGAAAAGGAACCTTGGTCCAGTCGCGTGAGGATCAAATGATAACAAATGATTCTGAAAGACAATGAGAAAAAGAATCCAAATCGAATTCAGTTAAGAGAAGAAGGAAAGAATGTCATTTTGCAAGAAGGATGACAAATATGAAGTCTATTCCACCGCGAAAAAGCGGTAGAGTATTTGAGTGAAAATCAATATGCAGCTAAATTACCTTCAAAGTGAATATATAGCAAGAAACTGCCAAAAACTAAAGAAGCTGTGTTTTCTCTGCAAAGGATAGCATAATTCAACAGCATATATTGACTATCACAGAGATGTCAATTCAGGAAAAAAGTAAATGAAAAAGAAATGAGTTCAATAATAATAATAACCAATCTAATAATTTTATGAAAGGACTAGTGAGTAAATCAACAAAATTTAGATAAAATACAGAAGAAAGAAGACGAAAAGCTGGAGAAAACTGAATCAGAGCACTGGTCTAGCAAAAAGCCAAATTGAAAGAAGTAAAAATTCACTGTATATTCAGAAGGACGTTCATTTATGATAGCTGAATGATGCAGGCCGAAAAAGCTAAAACAAATAAAAGTGAGAATAGCAAAGAATAGCAAATAAGCGGAAGAGGCAATAGCAAAGTTCAATTTATTCGAATTTTATCCAGCATCTTGCAAAAGTGCAAAATGAATTTAAGTGGTAATTAAACGGTTAGCGTTACAGCGATAAATAACACTTCTTGAACAACAATTATCAACGCGAAGGTAGAAGAAAAAGCAGCACTGCAATCGAAAATTGCTAGAAGATTAAGTTAATGACGAAGGGAAAAGAAAACTTGAAAGATAGAAAGAGATATTTACGGAATATCAAATGAACAGGAACAGTTTTCATTAAGGAAATTTGCAAGAATTACGATTTAACGAAGAATGATGTTTCTTAGCAGTTTTATTGCAATGGAAAAGTTATCTGAAATAAATTCAAATTCAAAACAGCGTAGAATATAACTTTGGATAATCATCATTAGGCATTTTTCAGGTTTTTCTCCGTTTCAGAAAATCCATCATTTAATTATCATAACAGAAGAAATCGAACTAGTATTGATGCTGAGTGAAGTATTTAGA